AATAACACATCTGAGGAGCACAGTCTTCAATTTCAGTGTACTTAAGAATTTGGGTACAAAGAAAACAGTCATACAAATCGTGAACCGTGTTAACTTACACAGTCTCTCTCTTTGGCAAACTTCTCATTATAGAGGTTTAGTGTTCCTTTTTGTAATATCGCACAACTTTTTTAACTGTTCAACATTCAATGTTTATCTTCACTGTCGCAGGAGTTTTGCGCGCGATCTTTTTCCTTAAAGTACTCAAACAGAAGTTAGTAAAAGTCCAGAGGTTTGAAAATGTCCAGATATAAACGCTGTTCTAGGGGCAGCTTACTCATTGTTTCCTGCAAATGCTCCGGAAAGAGAGAACGACATCGGCATACATGTATTTTCAATCTCGACCTTCTTCAAAGTTTACGAAACGGATGGATAACACACTGCAACGAACTCGTTTTGGTTTGGGACCAATTTAAAACAGCTTTTTCTTGAAGAGGTGACTTGTATATCGAGAAGGCTCATTTGAAGCATTACAAAATCAAGCCTCTTCCGTAGTTTGAATGTCAGGACGTCATTGGTGCAACAATAGAATTTTTTTAAGGAGTCAATGGTCATTGGTCTAAATTACTGATTTGTACACGCATTTAAACTGAAAATTAAACCGATCGCGAGGGGTAGGGCACTGATATCCCAAAGCAGTTAAAGGTATTTTTGCACCCTCATTTCCCCTAATTAAAATAAGCTTATTTTCCAACTTTGCTGTAACATTATTTTACTGTTTGTATCCTCAGTGATGTTTGATCAATGGTGTCTTCGCTCATGTTTTTCAACGGCCAATTCATTTTCACTACCATTTTTCAGGTTTTACTGGTGCTTTTTTACTATTTTTCGTTTCATTAATTTCATTACCATACTTGTACATAATTACGGAACAGTCTTGCTTGTTTTCACTATTCTTTTTACAAATTATCCCTAAGATTAAGTCGTCATCATTGTTAATGAGTCGGTCTGTTTGTTCTCCTTGTTTTTCACTGTTCTGTCGTCATCAGATTCATCCCCCAAAAAACTTCATTTTAAATGAATCGGCCGCTTTGATCTTGTTGGTTTTCAATGTTTGTTACTTCAACTTTGATTGGTTTTGATGTTCCCATTGGTGCTTTTCACCGCGTTTTATCCCCAGTATAAAATGAATCCCCACTTTAACCTTGGTCTTGCTGGCCTTATTGCTGTTTTTCAAAATGTTTTTTTTTTATCCCCAAGGATACGTTCTGACTACAACCGTAATTGGCCTTGTTGTTCTCAGTATGTAGGGACTTTCACAAAATGCATTTTTTACTCTCCTCCCAGATTATTACGCGATCACATTTAGGCAACAATGGTCTTGTGGTTCAGAGCGGTCACGTTGTTGCTGACCGCTGACCGCCATTCTTGTTCTCGAACGTTCGTGGGCACAATTTTGCAGTTAATGTGATTCTAAATCTACTGTAGTCGGAGCGGTCACGTTGTTGCCCAAGCTATTTTGTTTTAACACGTTCTCAAGCACAATTTTGAAGTAACCGTGATTCTAAATCTACTGTAGTCGAAGCAGTCACGTTGTTGCTGACTGGCCATTTTGTGTTAACACGTTCTCAGGCACAATTTTGCACTAAACGTGATTCTAAATGTCCTGTATTAAGAGCGGTCACGTTGTTGCTGACCGGCTATTTTGTTTTAACACGTTCTCAAGCACAATTTTGCAGTAAACGTTACTCTAAATTACTTTTATCCCCAGTATAAAATGAATCCCTACTTTAACCTCGGTCTTGCTGGCCTTATTGCTGTTTTTCAAAAAATTATTTTTATCCCCAAGGATACGTTCTGACTTCAACCGTAATTGGCCTTGTAATGTATCGTGATCACATTTGAGACAACACTGGTCATGTGGTTCTTATTGCTAGAGTTAATTCCATCCCCAAATACATGTGCTGTCGATTTTTAAATTGGCTATTACAAGGTTGTACATTGTCGTCCCCCAAAATAGTCCCACAGCGATTTTCGCATGACCTTGAAAAACGGTTTTGTGAAGTGTTCGTTATTTCTTTTATCAGACAGTGGATGAAAAGATCAAAACATGGACTCTTCGTTTTCCCGCCAAAGAAAGCCCTGATATGGAGAAGGCATTGTTCGATTCGCCAATCGTGTTGCAGTATGACGTCAAAGCGAAGTATCGATTTCTTGAGCGTTCGTTTCACCAACCAAAAGCCATGCGCGTTTGTATCCGTTCGATAACCAATCAAATCGCTCTATTTCCGTTCGTTTGTTGTTTCTGTTTTGTTCGCGCGTTTTCATTTCCAGGTCATAAGGAAAATCGCCCTGGCTCGAAATAAACAATCTCTACTCGACCATCTCCCTTAATACACCTTGCTTGCGCTCCAAAATTTCACAATCGTATCAAGAGAAATTGAAGACAATGCTCAAGCAACATTTTCAGTGGGGGAAAACAAGGCGTAGTATGAGTGATAAGTAAATGGCGAATAGGGAGAGGAAAAAAAGTAACAAAGCACGGAACAATTTCTGTTCAGAGAGAGTTGATAGTATTTCATTTCTCTACCTTGCGCCAGCATTTCTAAGTCCTCGCAAAGCCGCAGCACCTTCATTGCCTTCTTATCCGTCTCCAGGGGGAGGTGTTCTATGTATTCTTCGAGGTGTGCTCTGAGGAAGAAAATTCTCGAATTCAGTAACTGAAGTTATCATTCAATGCAAATTTTTCTTCCTTTTTATTAGCCGAGAGCCCGCCACGTGACCTGCAAATAACTGCCTACAAATAATGGTCTACTCATGCGCAAAGACGTCCAACTGTGTTTGGCTGCAAATAATATTCTGCTCACGCGCAAATGAAGCAATTCTCCTTCATACGGTCGCTCTTGCGTGAAAATGGCAGATCGCTTCCAATCCACTGAAAAACAAACTCAGTGAGCGAATGATAAAACAATTGTCGAACTCGGTTATCGCAAACTATCACGATATTTTGCTCAACCTCGTCCAATAATTGTTAATAATTTTGTACAGAACATCTGTTACCCTTCAACTCCAAGAGTCAATAGGCCATTTCACCTTTTCCTCTTTTTGTGGATGTAATCTAAATAGCGTACATCGAAATTTTTTTGGATACTTTGTGTTTTTGTACTGTTTTTAATTTGTTAACATTTTGCAGTATTTGTGTTTTGTATTCACTATGTACTTGTGAAAAATTAATAAAAGCTATCAAATTAGTAATGGTAAATGTGGTACCGTTAAGGCATATTAACAGGGTAAAGGCCTCACTTCCGCTAATCTCTAACGCTCGAAACGTCAGCAACGAATCCCTACAAGGAGCCGAATCCAATTCATTAAGAGTCCATTTAGATTTTTGTCTTAGTCTTGCACTAAATCACTTCCCAATACCACAGTTTCTCTAGAAACTAACCCGGAATGCTTTAACTACGTTTTAAAAAGAAAATACTGTTCTTCAACAAGCGTACCTTCCATAAACTGGACACTGAAGGAGATAGTCGACAGCAACACGCCAGAGACTGTGAAATAAGTATAGCAGGATTTAGCAACTTTTAGAGTTCGAACAAATGCTAGTGAAGAAAACCAAGAGGCTTTCTAAAGGGCTCGAAAAATGCACACGCAAACTCACAAATTCGCAAAACTGGAATTTTTACTAATTTACAAGCGAGCAATTCTCTAGTAGAGGCTGGTATGGTAAAAGTTGTTGACGAATTTCGCAGTAAAAAAGTTATGCATACATTGAATATTATGGAGAAAGAAAGTGGTTGTCACATTTGGAATTTTGGGGGTCAAAAGAATATCCTCAACCAAATATTTACGAGTGAGCATTTATCCAGTAGAAATTTGTAAGGTAATCGTTGTTGACTTTCGTGGCAAAGAAGCTTATATACGGCCATTAAATATTACGAGAGAAGGAAAGTGAGTGTCACGTCAGCTACTGCCATTAGGAGCAACTCTCACCTGTGATTTGACATAAGACTTGCAGCGTATTCCAATAACAGAAATTCTCTCAAGCTACATGTACTGCTATGACTGAAAAAAGAAATAATAATTATGTAAACTCTTTAGCCTTGCGTGGCGCCGGTTAGTTTCTTTGGTTAGTTTTTATAGAGAGCGCGAAACCGGCGCTTGCTTCGCAGGCTGTAAACTCTTCTCCTAATATTGCATGCGCCGCTAAGCCTGCAACTTTTGAGATTGTTCATTTGCTTTTTTCTTTTCTTGTTGTGTTTTGGTTTTCTCGCCCGCCGTCTCGACAGTTAAAATTACTTCGTGCAGCATAATAAACAGCACCACACAAAAGTACTGATTAGTGGGTTCATTTGAATAGTCACACACTTCAATTTCGATCACGGATTCAAATGTCAGAACCATATCATAGAGAAACGGAAACATAGGAAGGTACTGTTCAGTAGCTTTTTTGTCATTGGCCAGAGACCTTCCTAAGCAAACATCCAAATGCAGGGCTAAATCAGGTCCGGATAACTTTTAAGCATGATTTACAGTGCCAGATCCAGGGGAGAGGCCCGGGGGGAGCCCTGCCCCTCTTATCTCAGGGTATGGAGGACCGGGCCCCCCTTAAGTAAAGGTCTGGATTCGCCGCTGATTTAGGACTTCATGCACGGACTTAAGAGTTCGAATCACTTTGCTCAGCAAAATAAACAGCATATTTACAGCAAAATACTGCTCACTAGATTGCGGGTCATACAGTGACAATACAGACTCAATAGCAATAACTGTATGACTTAAGTCTTTTTACCTCATGTGGTGTGAATCTAGCTGTCCACAATGATGAAGCAAGTCAGTCAGATGGGCTACAAACCACCAGTTACCAAGTGTGTCACTATATATCAACAAAACAAGGTGTTAAATGTTTAAGGGTGATGAATGATAACAGGGTTTTTATATTGCTAGATGATAGGCTGAAAGACATTTTGGAATGGAAGGCAACTCAGCAATAATTATTGACCTTTGCTTGCAACTACTGTGTTAGAGCACTGAAACAGCCCGACAATAGAATAGATTAGAGCGGCCCCTATCCCCCCTTCTTTCCTTCTTAGTCCATTAGCAAAACGTGTGAGATTAGAAAGTGAGCATTTGTGTGACTGGAAGTGTGAAACACCCCTGGGTAGCAGCTTCTCCGCTAGCCCCTCGCCTGTCTGATACTAACCCAAAAACTTTAAAGAAAAGTACGAGACTGCTCTCAGTTTTAAAGTTGATTTGGCTTTGATTAAGTGCTTTGTCCAAGAGCAATCCTAGTTAGGTAGCACAAGAGACAATAGGGCCATTTATACGAGGAAAAGTAAGGCGCGTCTTGTATAAGACCCGTCTTAAATAAGACGCCAACTGGACCAGTTATTCGAGCATGTCTTATCTAAGTCTTCTGTATACTTAAACTTACTTTTAAAGTGTAAGTTTATAATACGAAGATAGCAATTTGATTAGTAAATATAAATTGTGATAGTTTAAAGTTAAAAGGGTCTACTTACACCAGCAGATGTCACGCATTTGTCCAGGAGGTCTGTTATCGCCTTCTCCTTACATAATAACAAAAAATACTTTTCCCCCGCGATGGACGAAGTGTTTCTTTTTACGTTTAACGGCGTGCTCATTGTATTTGAGCGAAGAAAAAAATAAAGCGGAATAGACAAGGAAACGAAAACGCGTTGTAATTTGTAAACAATTTTTCCCCGCCAGTAGCCTGCCAGTCCACCGCGGGGCAAGCGATAATTTTCCCGCCAAAATTTAACGCATGCGTACTATGCGTTCGCGTCTTATGTAAGACACGAAGGTCATTTAAACGAAGGTTTTCTTGTCTTAGCTAAGACGCGTCTTATCTAAGAACAGGAGTTAAGGGCTGTTCTGAAATAAGACGCGTCTTAGCTTGGTCGCGTCTTATTTTTGACGAAATGTGCTGTTTATACGGAAAGTTCGTGTCTTATTTAAGACGCGTCTTATTTTTCCTCGTATAAATGGCCCTAATAAATAGAGAAATAGTGTACCTGCTTTCCTTAATAACGGCATGAACATCAAATTCAAATGCCGAGAACAGAATTCTGTCAAAACTGTGCACGTTCGAACTTCCTCCAAATTGACTAATGCAAGCCTGAAAAAGTAATAAAATAGGACCAGACCAGTCAGCTCAAGCAAGCTCTCCGGAGCACTCTGGCGGCGGGGCGGGAAAAGGAAGGAGAGCTTGCAACTACCTCTCTGGTACTTGAGTATCTGCATCGAAACAGTCGATGCGAAATGCTGATTGGCGGAGATGACATTAGTAATGACGTCATTACCCTTGGCACGTGTTTTTCAATATTTGTTTACATTCGAGCTCTTTGTTCGTTCACCTATTTGTTCGTTCATTCGTTGGTTCGTTGGATCGTTTGCTTGTTCATTCATTCATCCATTCGTTAGTTCGTTCGTTCGTTCATTTATTCGTCTGTCGTTCGTTCGTTCTTTCATTCATCTATTCGTTCGTTCGTTTGTTCGTTCATTCATTCACTCACTAATTCCTAGAACAGACACACCCTCTCAGTCATTTAACCAATAGCAGTTGCATACCTGTGTATGATACTGTAAGTCAAAAGATTTGACAGCAGGATTACAGTATAGTAATTTAGCCACGAGTAGCTGGTACCATGTCTTACAATACTTGCTGTAAAGAGAAAAAATAAGTACTGATAATTTATTGCAAGACTGCTAATTAACTGCAAGACCATGTCCAAGAAATCCGTAAGTGACACTTGACTTAAGTACGAAAAATCCTCTAGAAAGCCCCTGGGGGGGGGGGGGGGGGGCTTTTTTTTTCAAAAGTGTTTGGGGGGGGGGGGGGATAGGGGGGGGGCGCTTTTTTTTTTTTGGTGTTTCAAGTTTTTTACACGTTGTTGAAACCCCAAAAAAAAAAGACCCCACCCCACCTCCAATTATATGCTTACTTATTTCAAGCATGTTTGAAGGGGGGGGGTAATAGAGAGGGGCGACTTATTTAGTTTAGCTGATTCAGACTTCTAGCACGTGATTGAAACCCTACAGAAAAGAGTCCACACTCACAGTCGCGATTAATTAAATAATACAGTCTATCATTCATTTCATTCATTAGGAAGGATTAATTAGTAAAACTGAAACTAAATGTTACATTGGCAGCGAATAATTGGTGAATATTTTGTGTCTCAATTGACTGAAAACTTAGTAGTGGTAACTTACATCATTTCATCAAATACTTCTTCCTCGCCACAAAGTATCTGGACAAAACAAGGGAGGATTTCCAGGGTCAGTGTAACTTGCATTCTCCGGAGACATAATTAAAAAAAGCAATTTTTCTCACCAAATAGATTTTAAGTAGCAAAATATATAAAATATTTCATACATGATCAATATAGGCAGTACTAATATAAGCATCAACAATTTGAATTTGCAAACGGTAGTCTTGAAATCATTTTGTTCTTCACCTGACAAAGGGTGTGTAAATGAGGATTTGCTGCATAGGTTTCACTTTCCAGGCGATGCCTGCACTCCTGTTGCCAATGGCTCCACTTCATACTAAATTCTTGTAAGGTCTGGCCCATGTATAACTGTAAATTTAATAAATAAAGATTTTACCAGAATGCTAAGTGACTGAATGCAGTTTTTGCTGTAATGATTATTCTTCCTCTTGATTGTTCTCATTTGGTGAGCAAGAGTGGCGTAGTGGTGAGAGCACTCGCCTCCCACCAATGTGGCCAGGGTTCATATCCTGGCGTCGACACCATGTCTTGGTTGAGTTTGTTGTTGGTTCTCCCCCTTGCTCCGGGAGGTTTTTCTCCGGGCACTCCGGTTTTTACCTCTCGTTAAAATCCAACATTTCCAACAATTCAATCTCGAACGTACAGACATGTTTTCAACGAGTTCTTATGAATTCCTAAGTGCTCTGTGGGTAAACAAACAACAAATTACAATTTGCAGCAAATTCACCACAACAATGAAAATGCATGTTTCTTCACTGCCTAGTTTCTATATAATCCTCAGGATCGCAAATTACAAGACACCTAGTGCCCCCTAAGGGCCATCATTATGCGATTTAGGAGCACCTTCATTGGATGACCTGTTCTTTAGCAATAATCTTTTAGTTATTACTCGCACTTTTTAAGAACTGTAGACACACATTTTGCTTATATCTTCCTTAAGTGCAAATAATCATTTCCTATTGAACCAACCTGGTACATTGGCATTTTTCGAAGAAGTTCATCGATGCTTTCAAACTCCTGCAATATTAAGAAAAAGCTTTTAATTAATCTTAACTTAAATTTAGAGCACTTCAAGCACAGTTGTCACTAAGATTTCAAGTTGTTGGGTATAATGCAATTAGTAGGCAGGTAATTAAACAGCTAGGAAGTTCTTTTGGTTCTACAGTTGAACCTCTGTTAACCGGCCAGTAATCAAAGTCCCGAAATAATTGTAGAAAAGAATGGGAAATTAAACCTCTATTGAGTGTCCGCGGCCCCTTTTTGTCCGTCCCAACAAGAGTTCTCCTGTTGTTGCCACCTCAATTAAGCAGCCATCAAGTGCTCGATACACTTAAATGAGCCTCATTTCAAGAATTTGATAAGAAAAATACAGTCTGAGATGAAAGTTGACGATGAACTGTGGACCAGTAATGCTTCTCCCGTCATGCATTTGTTTCAAAATAAAGTGATGTTTCTGCTAAAGATTATGCTAATTTCTGACGAACCTCTACTGAGCGGCCAACCTCCATTAAGCTGCCATTTGCTGGTACCTCGAGGGTGGCCGCTTAATAGAGGTTCAACTTTACTTTTCTCTAGTTTCCTAAGAATGTAGCCAGGGGTTATGCTTATTGTAGCCAGTGGAAATCCCTGGCCCCTGGCACTTTTTAGTGACAGCCCTGCTCGATGGAGTTGAAGGCCAAAATAATAAAAACCCAAAGAAATTCTCACATCATATTTTCCTGGCTGCTTTTCTGGATGCTGGGCAAGAAGTTCACGCACATCATTTATCCGCCCTTGAAGAACCAAAGAGTAGATCTGTAGGAATGAAAATACAAACTGAATAATGATAAACAAATTTTGTTTTGTTTTTGTCTAAGTTCTCATGCATCTCTGTAGGCTTCACGGAATGAAGAAATGCAGGCTTAGTGATGCAAAAAAGAATCACAAAAACGAAAGAATAAAAAAGGATTGTCACCTCTTGAGAACCAAGTGAATTTGTCAAAGCACCTTTGCAAAGCAAGTTTACCAATATTGTTAAGGTAAAGATTCTGTTGTTATTCACATAGCAGACTTACTGTGAACTGATTTCCTAAACCTTCTAACAACTTAATGGCACTGTAATGGCTATAAGCTCCTGTACAAGTGGTGTCCCTTGCAGCCATTAGGGAGCTTAAGCAAAGATGTTTTTGAGAGACGTATGTCAACTGGAAGTGAAGACTTTTTCCTTTTAATATGCCTTGACGCTATGCAATTTGTATTGCTTACTTTCTTTACACTTGTAGAGACGATTTAACTGAAAATTTGGGCAAAACCACTGCTCAGGAATGTAAAAAGTCCACTTCTGATTGACGGCGTCACTCAAAAATGCCTTTGCTTACATTCCCTATTTTTGTCTTGTCATGCAATGCTCATCCCCAATAAACAGCAACCACAAAAAGTGTTGTAGGAGGAGAGAAATACGTGTATACTACATATTAAAAATATGACCAGGCCGCCCCAGTTGCTCAAAGGTGGATAGTGTTAATGACTGAACAAATCTCTATCCAGTAGATAATATATTGTATTGGTTTTCCCTATACTTATATCACTGGACAGTGATTTGCCAGTGGACAACAATATTCAACTTTTGAACTACCATGGCCAGGTGGAGAGAACACTTACGGCAGGCCAGTATGAAGGGCTATCATGTGGCTGTGAATGCTGTAGCACATCTTTGACATACTTGTCAGCATGTCCATTTTGGACCCATTCTAGCAGATGATGAAGAACAGCTCCACCTGTTCCAAGAAATAAAGATAAATTGTTGAGTGTGATGGTTGTGATTTTGAAGCACTTTACAAGTTTGCATAACTATCATTGTATCACATGTCTTACCTGGCAAAGTTTCAATGAACAGTATTTCACACAGGTGCCAGACAGTTTCAATAAGTGTCAACAGATGCTTCTGCAAATTATAAAATAGAAAAGCAGCTAGACATCTAGACTAGTGGTAAAAACAAATTAGACATGCATCCAACATGGAAGGGAAGTGGAAGTGAATAACAGCCACAGATGTTTCACAATCAGTGATCCATAAGTGCCCTTAAAGATCCACATTGTGTAGTCCCAGAAAATATCCATACTTCCCCCCACGGAAGGGATTGGAAATTCCTTGGGGGTGGGGGGTTCTCAAAGGCCCAAAAATTTAAGCTTGACTGGAATTTCCAGAGGGGTGGGGGGTCCTAAGAAAAAATCCCTTCTGCGGGGGAGGTATGGATAATTTTTGGAACCACACATAACTGCTCTTTGCCAGGTAATGGGGTCAACTAGTTGCTAGCTGTGAGCAAGCTCTCCGGGGCGCTCTGGTAGTGGGGCGCGAAAAGGAAGGAGAGCTTGAAACTATGTCTCTGGAATTTGAATTCCACCTCCAACTTCCCTGTGGCTCCTTATCTACTGAGCTGTCAGATTTCTGCCAGTCAGTGTGAAGTGGAAATGTGCGCAAATGTAAACAAACATTGAAAAACACTTGCCAAGGGTAATGACATCATTTCTAATGTCATCTCCGCCAATCAGCATTTCGTATTGACTTTTTCGATGCAGATATTCAAATTCCAGAGACGTAGTTACAAGCTCTCCTTTCTTTTCCCACCCCACTGTCAGAGGGCCCCAGAGAGCTTGCTCGCAGGCTAACTAGTTGCACAGTTGGATGGTAATGGTGGACCCTGACTCCCAACACATTGTATACTCTTATTTACAAAATATAATACACATGTACTTTAAAGTGGTAAATTACAGTCACAATACTAGATTTCTTCAATTTTCCTCCACAATACCCACCTGTGCAATACTTGACTGAGGACTGCTCAATGAAAGTCTAGAGTCCACTGCAAGTGGGTCAAAAAAATTCAATACATAGTGTTTATATCTGTTAAACAGGGTAATTAACAGAGGTAAAAAAAATTATAAGCTTAGTACAGTGGAACCTCCCGTAAGCGTCCACCGAAAATGCAAAGATTGAGTGGTTGCTTACGGGAGGTGGTCATTTACAAGATTAATCGAATCACAGGGCGCCTTTTCTGAGAAGAGGTCCAGGCACATCTGCTTATAATTTATGGAAGATAATTTATAGCATGCAATGTCTAAGTTACAACATGTGTAGTTCCATGTTTTCACTAAAGTTCTTTGTATATTTGTATATACCGGTAAGTAGCATAGTGCACACAGCAAACATAGAGATCAGAGAATGCGAACATAGAGATCAGAGAAAGTAACAAAAAAAAAATAAAGATAACATCGAAGCAATCTAACACAACGTACCAGCCTTTTCTTCCAGGTCCAGAATGCAAGCTCTTAATACGCTTCTATACCTTCTGCTGATCTTGATCAGGCTGTTAAAAAGAAAACTAATATCAATAATAAAAAGATGACAAGAAATCACATTACTATTATTTGATTACCATTTCTTTATTTAATATATTGATTTCTTTTTTCACTGCCACTCATTTTCACCTTGCAGGCTGCTAGCATTTCTCATTTTCTCACCGCCACTATGAAATTTTCATGTTTTTCTTCTGATGAAATTCATCTCCTTTGCTTTCAATCACTCACTCTAGTTCTTTCTTTCTCTGTTATCCACATGAGTGTAAACATCAAAAATAACGTCGAAAAAGACACAACTTTGTTGTTGTTTTTTCTCTCTAAAAGTCTGGGCGGCCATGCGATTTCATTACAAACAGAACCTTGAGTTGCATTTGGGTTGCCATACTGTTGATTGAGTTAATTTACATTGGTATGCCTGTGGTGCGGACAGAAGGGTCGAGGTAGAGTCACGTGATTACCAAAATTTCTCAGATGGGTAGATTACCACATTTTCTTCCCATGGTGCTTTGCTGCACACGCTTCGCGCACACGAGAGCTCCACTATAAAATGCTCCATGATTTGCACTTGCACTGAATTAGTTCAGCAGCTGGCCCTGTGCATTACCAGTAAACTTTGATAAACCATGTATGTGGCATAAGGCACATAAATCATTTATATTAAATAATTTACTTTACAGAGGTATAATGAATTTGGCTGACCAGTCACAATCATAGCACAAACATTTCCTTGCACATTTCATGACACATTAGAATTTGGCTTCTGTATATGTTAGATAATTGGAACTTTTTATGACCCATTTTCTTGTAGATGCATGACACAAGAAAGAGGCAAACTTATAGAGCACAGTGAAGTCACAAGAGAAAAGGTTTATTCCAATAGATAAGCCTTTCACTAGTTTGTTTTCAACACCAACAAACAACCAACCAAAAAAACACTTTGCATTCACTTGGCTGAAAGCTATAAAGTACCACAGGAAGAAGTTAAGGAAGCAGAAAAGAGTGAAATTTATTGCTCTTTATGAGAATGCCGGCTAGGTATCTCTTGGGGGCAAGAAGGTCAGAAGGTCACTTCCTCAAACTTTACAGACATTGAGGCAGCTACTGGAGGAACAAGCTCCCATAAACAATTTTGGAAAAAACCTTCCCGTTCCAAGAAATACGGCTGCAAGTAAAGTAGATAATGACGTCATTTCGTTGCTATGACAACCCCATTGTAAATGAAACACTATCATAACAAATTTTCATCCTCATCTAAAACAGCAGTGGTGGTATTTTTTCCAAGTCTTTGTTAAGAGCAACGTAGTTAATGCTCAAACTTGGAAGGTTGTGCCCATGAAAAATCCAGTCAAGCAACCTTAAATTACCCTTACATTTAATAATTTCTGCCAGTCATACCTTTTTATCTGCTACATAACACATAGATTTTATTTTCTCCATGACTTCTTTTACTTATTTATTATTATTATTATTATTATTATTATTATTATTATTATTATTATTATTATCATTATTATCATTATTATTATTATTTGTTTTTTTGAAGTTGCCCAGGGAACCCACTTATAGCAGCTTTTGCTGATGGGTTTTATCCTAGTTAAAAAATGCTATTATCATTTATCATTATCATTTTCATGCCTTCTCCCTCTGAAACGTATTCATTAAGGAGCTTAAGTAGCCACAATAATGAGAACATCAAAAAAGCAATAGGTTTATTAAGCAAAAGAACAACTCAGTATATGCCTCACACTGTTTGGCACATTTCTTTGCTGACACTGCATAACAATGCAAAATTTTACTAATCCAGCGTTTAATGGAGGATGTAAACATACAACCACAACAAATTTTTCTTTTTTTACCAACTTGAGTACAGTCCTTAGGAGAATTTGCCCTTGTTTAAAAAACTTAGCAAGTTGGAATCACACCGATGAAGTTTAAAAGATCATGAATTCACTTTATAGGTAATGTTTCCACTGCTGTCACCATTGTTGTTACTTGTAGGTATTCCATTACGCATTTAATCAGAAAGCTCAAATAAGGTCCCTCCATCCTAAAAGCACCCCTCTCTCCAGTATCAGGACAGCAATGATCATTATCCTTTAACCCTTTAAACCCTAAGATCAAAATTAAAATTCTCCTTTGTCATCCCTATTCATTACTATAGAAGTAGTGGGGAGAAGTTGATAAAGTATCAAGCAAATACATCTTGTGTGATAATGTCATTAATTCTAATGACTACTTCGTTTTACAAAGCATTGCTGTTACAAGGAGAAATTTGATGCTGATCACTCTTAGGATTTAAAGCTAGTGTTTAGTTTAAAAGCTAGTGTTTAGTTTAAACTGGCATTAAAAATAGTGACTATTCCTTTGTAAAAGGAGAATACACTTGGAATGTCAAAGTTGCATAATCTCGTCTTTGTTAATTCATCCCAGCATCAAATTTTCTGCAACGAAAACTTGTTGCGTGGTTGATTGACTGGGAGCCCCAAAGTATCGCTCATACATATTGCTTCTTCTTTTAATGCTTTGGCCTCCTCCAAATTTCCTTTTTCTTTATTCCAGTAAGCCATTTGTGTTTTAAGATATACTTTCCACTTGTGATTCTCTCCTAATTCTCTTTCTGCAATGTTCAAAGCTCCTTGATATAATTTCATCGCTTGTTCTTGATTGCCTTGTAGTTGGTGACATATGCCTAAGTTTGTCAGACTCAGGATGCACTCTTTGTGGCCTGCCATTCCAAGACTCTCCATAATTGTTAATGCATCCCCATAAAGCTCAATACATTTTTGCTGGTCTTCTACAGTTCCCAAACTACCATCACCATGAAAGAGGTGAAAATCTGCAAGCTTTCTTTCAGCCCAAGCAGTCATAACATGTTTCACAAGGACCCTTTGATAAAGGTCCAATGCTTCATTTAGTTTTTGTTCTGCTTTACAGCGTTCATTGCGACGATTGTCTTCATAACCAGCAAAAAGCAAGGTTATTGCTTTCTGTACATACATGTAATCCAAAGACAAATTTTCCTCACATATGTTACGACACAAGTCAAATTGTTCTTTTGCTTCATCTAGTTTTCCTTCCTCAGCAAGGAAGCGTGCATTGTTGTTGTGAAAGAAAGCTTCTGACACCTTTTCACCCTCAAATTCTGCAGGATTCTGCAAGTGTGCTTCTCTGGCCTTTTCCTGGAACTCTTTGTACTTCTTGAGATCTCCAGCTCTTCTGCTTTCATGCACAACAAGGCAAAGAAGCTCCACTCTTTTAGTGGAAGGGTGATGACCAGATGTCAGCAAATCACAAGAAAGTTTAAGAAACTCCACATAAACACTAGGAAGAAGGCACATCTCTAAATACAAGTATATTGAAGATATTTGGGAAATCCTCTCCACTAAGGTTTCCATGACTGCTAAGACATCAGGATCTTCATTCTTCAACCCACTGATACAGGCTTTGAGGAAATATTCAAAGTTATGTCTGTCCTTATTAAAACGCTGAATGGACTCTTTGCACATGTCCTTGGTCCAGTATAGGTTGGCATTATCAGCAAGCTGAGAAATAAAGTAATCACAAGCCACTCTTTCTCCCCATATGACAAGCTGAGTACCAATATCTTGATCGATAGTTTTCAGAAATGCCTGTATAAGTGGATGGATCTGATATCTGTGTGACGCTGGTTGTTCAATGAGTGACCGATTTTTCAAAGAACGAAGAATTGATATCGGCTGAGTAGTGCAGCTCGTGCACTTACTAATTACAGTCTTGGCAGCTTCAGAACTAAAAGAACCAGGAAAGGCTGACATAACAACCAGGACTTGTTGCTCAATGTGGTTCAAAACATCATAGGAGGTTTTAATAGCCTTTTCAACAGAATTATCATCACTTTCATCTTCTCGAAGCACTTCCAATGGCTTTTCATTAAGACTGTTAATCAACTCACTTTCTGTGTAGTCTAAAAGCAAAGAGCCAACAATACAGAGAGCAAGAGGCACACAACCACACAGTTCAACTAGGATGTCTGTTTTGGACAGCTGTTTTTTAATACAGTCATCGGAGACTTGTGCAGTAAGAACTCTTTGAGATTCTTCAGGTGGTAAGGGTTTTAATCTGACTTCTATCATCTTCAAGCTTGAATCTTTGAATACTCTTCGAGATGTAACAAGAAAATCAACATTCTGTCCTGATAAGATTCTCATATCACGTAAAAGATTTATGAAGTGCAATCGGTCATCTGAATTAAGAACGTCATCAGCATTGTCTAAAATGAAAGTAACATTGTTCTTTTGTTGCTTGCTCCAGTTAAGCAGCCAATGATGAGGATTCTGTGGGGGATGAGAGTGATTTTTATTACAGGTAAGAATCATTGAGGTTGCGACATCATCAACTGTTAATTTTGATCTGATCGGGTAATACAAAACTGTGTTTTTGCAAACACCTACCAGTTCATGAGCGACTTTGTTGGCCACTGTGGTTTTTCCAAACCCTGGCCCCCCTGTTATCACAACAGTGGCTACTCCTTCAAATTGGATAGCTTCTGTGATTTGTCTTATCTCCTCTGAACGACCAAAGACATCTGGAATTTCATCTGGAAGACAATTTGCGAGCTCGTTTGCACCTTTTTCTGAAATTGAATCATGTATTGTTGAGATTTCATCTTTCATCTGTTTGACCTCTTGCTCCAAGATCTGTATTTGTGTCTCAAAATCCCGAGTCCACCTTTCCACTTCCGCCTTTACACGGCTTTCAGTATCATGATCAATTGGTTTAGTCTTAAGGAGGTCTATCTCCTTTTGATCGAGTCCTAACGCGACTAGCGACTTAGAAATCTTGTTCCACTTATCTTCAAACTCGGTATTTGTAATACCAGTAGAAATACTGTGACAGAGCTCATTTCTAAAGCATTTTATTCGGACAATGTGTGCTTCGGGACTGACATCCGAATCTAGTGGCAGATTGTTCCATCCTGTTAAAGGCGGCGCCAAATAACAAATTTCCCGAAGCAACAAATGCAAAAGGGTAATGTCGAATGTCTCGGAATCTGGTGGATCACCTGAAGAAGGAAAAAGCGACTCCCACTGACTATCAAAGATCGCTCGTCTCGACTTTAGAACCTGTAGTTTTCCATAGTTGCTCGCCAGTGCTGCTCGTAAAACGGCCGGGCGATGAATACTGTGCAAAAAGGTCCTTAACGCGTGTGTTCCTCCATCAATCACTAACCGTGCCAGTTTTGTGCCATTCGTTTTTTCCTCTGATGATTCGAAAACGGCAGACATCTTTTTTCTTGATTTCTTTTTACTTACGACGCAAATCGCAACACTGCAATTCTGACGGCCAGCGGCGGTAAAAATATGTACTTCAAATATGATACACGAAATGTCTCGCGTTAACAATCTCGTTCGGGAAAAAGGAGAAAAGAACACTTCAACAACAAATTTAGGGCCTGTTTACATGGAGTGGGGGACCCCGGTCTAGTGGGGTAGGTTTCTTTTGTTTTGTGTCCCCCAGAGCGTGAAAACAAAAGAAACCAACCCCACTTGACCAGGGTCCCCCACTCCATGTAAACAGGCCCTTAATTGAAATTCAACCAGTATAAAATAATAATCTTAATCTTTCTTTTTTAAACTTTCCTTATTTCACACTATATAAGGCATTTACACAAGTGTACTTGAGTAGGATAACAAAGTAGCTGATAAATAATCATTAAGCTAATAACCCATAGTAACTAATTAAGGGTAGGCATAGGGAGGAAAGACATTTTTACATTACAAGGTTCTAGTAGACGGACTAAACGACAATACAGGCACTGCAACATACAATAAATACATAGAATAAACTAACACAAAACAAAGTCAGTGAATAACTATAAGAGAGACTAAATATTTTATGTGTAAAACACCTTTATAAGACCGGGGACTTCAAACGCATTGGGGACAGGTCATTTAGCAGGAAAGGGCAGGGATAAAGCCACTTTACTTGGGGGAGGAGGTTGAATTTTTACCTGCAGTTTAGGGGAGGGTGATTGTTGACATAATAACAACATTAGGGGAGGATTACGGGGGGTGACAGCTCTAACAAGGGCTGTTTCGGGAGAAAAACAAATTTATTCCGGGAATCTGGAGATTTTGCCGGGAATCGCGAAACCTGGGAAATTTTTCGGGAAATATGAGATATTTTCGGGACATTGAACAAAGATTTGATATTACATGTTATCAAACAATATGTATACAGTGATATGCACCCTGTGCCGATACGTTGTATTCCTTGTATTTTGACAATTAAAAACGGCTTAATCAGCAACGTTTCCAACTAATATAGTGCGATTGACCCCGTGCAATCCCCAGCGGATTGACACACGAACCGTACCGGTGCAAGGGTCGGTGCAAGGCACATACTATCAGTTCACACCAGATCCCATCATTCATTAGTTCAGGGGTATTTTTACGCTGCATGTTAACGAGTTTTAAGAGCACATTCCACTGATTGCATACTGGAAAACTTGGAAAAAGTACGTTAGAAGTACGTAAGAAAAAAACGAAACTCATTTAACCTTGTTAAACGCACATGAGGCCATAAAAAATAGTATGTCTGTGAAGACTCTTTAATCATCCTGATCTCGTCGGGGTCCTTCCGATTTTACTCAAAAATCCCGAATCCTGATCAATATGCGTTCGGAATAGGAAAATTCCAGATTTCGACAGTTCTGAAATTTTCAAATGAATTCTTATGATACTCATACAATGACACCACACAGACTATACTTAGCTGAAAGTGATTTCCAGAGCAATTTCAAAAACCGCACAACTTGTATAAAATAAAATCGACTACTTCTACGCGAAGTCACGCCAATAAAAATAAGCATAAAAAGGACAATTGATTTAGAGAACATTTTGGACAGAATTTGTCCTCTCAGAACACTAGAAACGGCGTTTCAGAGCACAAAGATTTCAAAATTTTCTGGGGGAGCATGCCCCCAGACCCCCCTAGTGGTTGGCCCCTTCAGCGCTCGCCTGATTCGTCGGTGATTAAAAATAAAAAAAAACACGATTTATATATAATTAAAAAGTTTGACAGTCTTTCTGTGTTAACATGATACCCTCTAACGAAAAAATAACTAAGGTTAGATAATTAACAAGAAGCTGCTAATTAAAATTTTAATTTTAATTGTTAAAACAATTTTGGGAAGTTAAACATTTATGGGGAATGCCACCGAAAAATTCAGGAGGGTCGACGAAATTTCCGGGAGGACATAAAGTTATTCATAGGACTGCCCAAACAGCCTTTGTTAGAGTTGTCACCCCCCGTAGGATTGTAATTATTTTAGGCGTAACATCTTTACAAGAGTCTGCAAAAGTTTCAAGTTTAAAAAATTGTTTTGTCAGATCAATGTGATGAAAAAGTCAAGGAGTAGCCTCCCACATAGTTGTTCTTAGGGGTTAGTGGGGCAGGAATGCATGACAAACCCCTAAGAACATCTGCGGGGCACCCCCACTGCACAAAAGGTTTGACAACAGATCCAGATAGCCAAATACCCATAGATTACTTACTTGGCGTTTGGATTTACAAATTGTGGGGTCAGTGACTTGGTACGCTGCAATTTCTGAGGGGGGTCGGGGGTATTTTGAAGCATCAATTTGAACATTTTCATGTTTTGTTTTTCATTCCCATGATGATTTTGATGCATATCCCGAATTGCTTTGCAAGGAGCATCCGTCATTTTAACTGCTGGAATGATTTAATTTTCAAAAGGAAAGAAGTATTTCCATTTTGCCACTTTTAATCCCGTTAGACACCTTTTTTTAATTTGGTTGTGCTAGGTGTAAGTTAAAAGATTTTTCACAGTTGATTAAGAAAAATGAGCTAATGAAATAGAGAAAATTTTTCTATAATTAGACCTTGTTTTTACAACCAATTCAATATAAACTGAACCATCGATCTTTAAAGCATGTAATTTGATTACCAATTGTAAAGCAATCCTAAAACAAGCAATTACCTTTTTTTAGATATGGAAGCAATTGTAGTTGCTGCCATAGCTCGTGATGACCAGCGATTGCTTTTAAATGCCAAAGGCGTTGTTTTGATAGCAAAAGAAGCGAAATTTAATGGAAAATGTCGCAGCAAAATAATATGTTAGTAAGAAAAATCTAAAATGACTCAGTTGCAAGGAAGACAATGAAGAGGAAGAGTATGTGTATTCTGCAGTGTTTGCTATGTTAGCGGATGAAATTACTCCTGGATAATCTGAAGGAAAGACTTATGACATGAGCCATTTGCTAGACCGCTATAAGCAGGTATTGGACATCAAAGGCATTTCTACCAGCAAGTATTGCAGCAAAAAGCTCAAAAGAAGAATGAGAAGCTATTTCTTAGACCAAACAGTCATCGAGAAGCAGAATGACCCTTCAAAGCCTGAATTAATTTATTCCAGACAGACACGGTGAAAACATCAGTCTCTCAGCAGTCCAGTGAAGATTTTGAAGTTGATGAGGACACAAGACAGGATATGGAACAGGATAAAGCTACCATTTGTACCAAGCAGTCTAGATAATAAAAAATGACATCAGACAGTGCAACGGTATTTCAATCAAGCCATTGTGTGTAGACGATGTGTCCATAGAGAAGGGCAGGTGTCTAATACCAGAAAGCCTTTACAGTTTTCTTTCAGAGGTTATCTTAAGGCAAGATGGATGGATCTACTCTTATCGCTGAGAAAGGAAGACGCGTAGTTGTGGTATGTCAGCATGTAATTCATGCGCGACCAACAGTCAGGTGAAAACACCAAGACACATAGGTTTGGCAGTCACCATACATCATTTAACTGGGTCTAAGGAAGTCGTGACTTTGTTAAACAAAATGGGGCACTGCTTAAACTAGAGTAGTCATCCCACTAAACATCATCCCTGACCCATTTGTCCAATTAGTTGCTGACAATAATGACTTCAACGAGGAAACTCTAGATGGCAAACAAACCACACATGCCACAATGCTAGTAGTGTATCAGCGTCAGCCGTTTGGACCCAAACTCCCACTGAAGATCCACACCGACCACACCCCTAGAGGATCTTTAGAGAAACCAGTTCAGGGTCAACCCAAGCACGAGTGCAGTGTGCATGGTAAGGGTCTTGCCTTCACCTCATTCGTAGGAGGGGCAGAAAAGAGAACTTTGAATTAAGAGGCAATTCCACAACAACTCAGAATGTGAATGAACTGGCATGGTTTCTGCTCCGGCTTAATAGAAAAGTTGTATTGAAGGCTGATGATACGAATGGAGAGTAATCAGTTTCTGGATGGAGCACATTCAGCGCCAAAATGTCTTCCATCAAGTTGTCTCGTACAATCATTACAGGTAAAGCCTGATGATTGCTGGATTGCCAGCAGAGTTAAGTACCATCTATACAGTACTCAAAACAATGCACGAAATGTCCAAACTTCTCCAGCAGAGCACTGCAGTAATCACATTTGCTCTGGCAATTTTTTCCAAGGAAGAAGAAATCCAGAAGAGTTCCAAAACCTGGTGATTCGCTTAGGGGGATTTCACATTGCTCTCCATTATTTGGCCTTGATTGGAAAGTGGCTTAGAGGATGTGTTTATAGAGTCTGGCCTCTACGGATCGAGCTCTACTATGGCACCATTGCAGGGAAAATCATACAACAAGGGAATTAGAGGACACAAATTGATTATGGAGGAGCTACTGCATTTGAAATGGGACGCATTTTCATCCTGGGTTAGTAAAGGAGGAGGTGTAGAGTCAAAAGGTAAAGAGTTTCACTTCTAAATCTTGTTTACTCTGATATAAAGTGCCATAGAACAGCAACTGGGACAACATCTGAAGAGAGGAAAAAGGCCTATTTGCTCTTTTGTAACACTGCCGTTTGTGTTGACATAGTTTAAGCAAGAAACGGCATCGAAACTTTTCAAGTTTTGGGACAAGTACATCCAGATGATTCTCCTTCTTCCAGAGTTCATTTGAGTAGAATAAAAGGGTTACTGGGAGCTACATCTAAAGGTTACATCAAAGATGATTCCTTATTTTTTGCAATGGATCACTTGAATTACTCTCGATGGCTGCCAGTGTATATTATGGATATGCACAATCTGCAAAAAAGCTCTAAATGTCTACAGGTTCCTTAGAGGGAACCACACTGTCAGCAGGTCAACGTCACAGTCATTTAACCAAGTCTGTGTAGACATGGCACCTAAACAGAGCATTAACCTTGATAGTAAAACTAAAGGTGGTATACTGTTAATTGGTATTACATAAAGGTCAAGCACTCTCCTGAAATGGTTTTTGACAGCACACGAGAGAATAGCAACCAGGACTGCTACCAAAAGAATGATAGAATTGGATGAATCTACAAGAAGTACACACACGGAATTGTCAAAAGTCACGAGTTTAAAGAGACGAAAATGACATCAAAAAGATCATACATACTCTGAAGACAGTGATGTCTGGTCTGTTCTATGAAGATGCATACAGTGAAGACGTTCCACTAATGAGCCTTGCTACAGAGGACTGAGAGGAGGTATGCCAGAGGAGATGTCAGAGCAACTTATTGATGACGAATGTCTAGAAGCAGCGAGGATGAAGTTATTTGTGAGCAAGCGTATCAATACCAATGAAGTTGGGTTTTGGGAACCGATGGAAAAGATGAACATAAAAATGTGTGCAAGTTTGTCAAGGAAAGCAAAGGTTAAGTCAGTGGATGAGAAGCTTGCTACAGTAAGCGTGGACAGGAACTTGTTTGGGCGGCTTTCGATGGCTTCACAATCAAGAGATATCGACTTGAGAGAAGTGTTAAAGTTCAAGCTGGACTCTTTCCCTAGCACACTGGCTAATCCTGATGGATCGTTAAGGAAAACTACTGAAAGTGTGTTCCGGAGATACTCGAGGAACAAGTAGAAGCACAACCCAGACTAACATTAGATTACAGAATGTCAAATGCATATGTCATAGATGGTATGGCAGTGGTGCAAATTATGAAGAACGCAGGCTCAGTCACATTTGGAGAGCTCACTAACAAGTACATGTACTTCCACGTGATAACCATACATTTCGGAAATAATGGCTCTAATCGTGTGGATGTAGTTTTTGATCGCAATGACAAGGAACACTCAATGAAGGAAGCAGAGCATGTTCGAAGGGGATCATCATCAAACTTTGAGGTACCAATATTGGCCCGTCTACTCCAGTTCCCAAGAAGTAGCAAAACTTCATCCCCAACCCTATGAACAAGAGCAACCTAAAGGCATTTCTTGGCACTGCAAGGAAAGAGATGGCAAAGACAAGGCTTGACGCAACCACAAATTGGTGTTGGCAGGGTGTTTCATTCACAGCAATGACACACTCAGTATCACTCAAAATCAAGAGAATCTCTTGCTTCATACACTGTCAATTAGTTGTAGTAATGCTTTTGAAGTTTAACGCAGATGGAAAACAGCATGTAATATATGACTGCTATTGAACCTATGGCACAGGATCCTGTTGTTTCTTTCGCTTGTATAAAGACACTGGTGACAGTTAAATCTGTAGAATAATTTAGTGGTTTCTTCAGTTCTATTTTCAGCAAATCTCTTTATGTTGGCCACAAAATCAGTGGTAATTACTTTGACTCCATACATAAACTCATTTAAAAGTAATTACGAGAATCATTCAGCATTCTTCAAACCGGCTAAAAACATTCTTATTTGATTTTGTATTAATTTTTTTGGGAATGAAAAGATTGAATGGATAAGAAATCAACTCAAAAGGATTTATGGAAAACTTAAACCCACATAAAAGTTGATTATAAAAGCCGCAAGAGCTTTACTGCAATCCAAAATCTAAGCAACTAAAAAATTAAGATTTCAATAATTTTGCATTAAATTTTCAGTAGAATTGGCATGTAACAAAGCAAACACGTCACTGACCCCACAATTTATAGAATGAAATGGGGAATGTCGAATAAGTAATCTATGGAAGCACTATGTTTTACAAAATGGGACTAACATAATGTTTTAGACATTTTGTACAACCTCGATTTTTGAGCAGCGTTAAAACGTAAAAATTTGTTTTGTGGCTCATGAAATGCAAAATTGTTGTTTGTGAACTCGTGATGAGACCCTCCCCCCCCTGCCCCATCTACTTTTATAACTGTAAAAACCGCAACAAGGAGGCATAACAACCGCTTGTCATCTTTCATTTGTTAATGTAATGTTGACAGGAAAACACCTTGTCTCAATGAACCTGCTATACTCTAAATACATGTAATGTAACAAATATCTTTAAGATCACCTTTTCATTAATAGCAATCAACCCTACTTCTATTTCATCAGAAATACCAATTCAGAGAGTCAATAAACCTGCCCTTTAGGTCAGGCCACTTTTTAAACTTACCTCGCCTTTCTTCCTGTTCCACCAGAATCAGGAATTTGCTGAAGATCCATAAAGATAGCTACAATATACATTGTATCAGATAAATAAACATCATGTTCTGCCCCAGAACTACCTTATCGTGGTGGGGCAGTTTGTGTGTCTCAATGACCTCTATGTTAGCTGGAGTCTTGTACTCTTGGTAGGGCCACCCATGCTGAAAAGGTCGAAGGGTAGAGACCTGACAAAGAGTGACCGCCCTGGTCCTCCAGGTTGGGGATTGGAAATAGGGCTAATGACCCTGCACCATAAAAAACACTAACTGTTACAGAAATCAGAAGTGTTGATAATGATACAACACTAGCTGGACAGAAAGTGTTGGCACGGTGAGATCTGATAATGATGAAACATCATTTAACACAAACATTTCTGAATTCAGCTTGTAGAGCACAGGGCTATGCTCTAGCAGAGCCCGGTGGTCCCTGGTGCCCAACTTTTGCTCTTGAGTGACTAGAAAATCTCAACTTTTTCACACAATCAAATGCTGGGCACCCTAGATTTTACAGGTTCAGAGCACTGGGCACCCTTCAATTTTCCTTAGAGCACAGCCTTGGTAGAGCCCTCCACAAAAATCGTAATTTCCTACATATCCAAGTTTGGGTACATGTATCTTGGGAAAGTTGGGGATCACAGGAGACTGAGGCCTATTGCAACTTTGAATTAAAACAAGTGAATTCGAAAACTCTATTTGGGTGACACACAAATAACAACAACTTAAAATAAAAATATTATTACCATGAGTTTCATTAATCAGCTTGCGAGTTATAATGCTCTGAAGATCCGCACCCCATCGAACCTCATGTAGAACAGGATATCTGTAATGGGTTGAACTCTGAGCACTTACTACCAGAAAGAAAAGAATAAAAATGTTTGGCGTGAATAGCAGCATCTACAACTTACTGTTACAAGTGTGACTCACGTAAAGATGCAAACACCCTGCTAGCAGACCCTTCCTTTCACTTGCTCCATTTTGGTGTACCACTGAGAAAGATTCTGCATGAATCAAGTAAGACTTTTGTTAAGCATGTACAGAATGTTGGTAGGATATAGGTTCGAACCTAGGCCTAATGGCCATCTTAAAGAGAGTCAAATAAAGGGAGTAAAGAAAGGCAGGCAACAACACTACACTGTAGGTGTCCATTTAAGAGGTTAGTTTAGAGGTTTCTATTAAGAGAGAGCCGCCTATAAAGTCTTAAGGGTTAGTGTAGTTGATTACTTTTGGGGTTTTACCAATGAGAGGACACTTTCCAACTTTTTAAATGGACATTAGAATAACATGATAGTTCCACACTTTTCAGCATCTTACTTGGTTTGCCATTTGATGTGTGAACAACTATTCCATGGCCTGGAGCCCAGTATCCCGTCAGTTTCTCACATCCTGGGATGACCTATTATTATATCAAAGAAAATTAACAGAACAGTTCATAAGTGTCCGAGACAGGCGAAGCGGGTGTGACGTTTGTGAAAACTGGCTTCTTCTCAGGAGATCTGGAGATCGGACATTTCTGACATCTACCGATATTTTCAGGCGCTCACATTATGTATGAGTTTGCAACACTAGATCTACGATATTATAAGCTATAATTATCCGTGGCTGTGAAGTGAAAAGGTTAATATATGGATTTAATTCAACTCCCAATTAACGAAGTAAAATGTTGCGTGTAGATGGAAATCAGATCAAGTACCAAGAAGGAAGATTTTGATGCATGGACGAATTTGGATAACTTTCGTTCCACGAAAACGCAGGTGACTGTTGAGGATCAAGCAATAAAAAGATGTCCAGGAGAACTGACTTTACTTACATACAAGCAGATTTCGTAAAAATTTTCAAGATTACTCACTGTGATTGCGGACATCGTCTCTCCTCTCGTGGTGGCCGCCATGTTGTTTTACCCAAACCGCAGGGAGTTCTGGGCATTATCGCCAGTCTTAGCTCGGCCTAGGCAAATTGGCGGGAAATCAGGGGACCAGAGGACGATTCACGTGCACGCAGGCAGCCAAGCGCCTAGCTGATCTTCGTCGATCTTCGTAAAATTCAGATGATCAAGTTTTCAACGTTTTATACATTTATACGTACGTTCTTGCGGAGATTGCGAGCCTTTCTTTGGTCTGGCGTATATTGGTCACATCAACACAATGAGGTAAGCACGACCTTAGACTAAAATTAGGAAAAACTGGCGGGTTTTATTGAATTGAATTTACTCATTCTCTCTTGCAACTTTTTTTTAAATACGTTTGTATCGAAACGACATGACTGAGATGTCCGGCGATACTCGATTCTGTAAGCCTGCTAGGAACTCTGCTGCTAGCAGACAACCCAGTAAGCTTCTTCGTGAAACCCTTTTTACATCGATGACCGAGTTTTGCCTGTTCCTGTATCGGGCTCTCTCTAGTCCGGCTCAGCACCATCTAAAAATGGTACTCGTATCATTAAACGCTCTCAGATACCTTGGCTTAGAGTTAAGAGAAAAAACTTGTTTATTTAGCTGTACTAGTCACTACTGAAACGTCTACCTTGATAACATGTTGATAAATTTGCCACCAGTCTTAATTTCGGTTTTGTTTTCATATACTTTTAACGTTCACTTTTTCTTTTTTTATTTCGTCATGTTGTTTTAGTATCATATTACACGCTATCCTGATTTTAAATTGTAAAGCCTTAGCTAGTTAACCTAGTCATCTGTAACCCTGAAGAAGAAGAAGAAAGGCCGTGCCTATCGAAATATTGCCGGTCAACTCAAAAAATATAAGTTATTTGCAACTGTAAAATCTGCCTTGCTTCTTTCTGTTGAAGATCTCTTTATGACTTCTTTAATATATAGATTTAGCCAGGGCTAAAAGCGAAGCTCTCGATAATATTTATAGTTTGCTCAAACAAAATGTAAACTCGTGTAATGCTAGCGGCGAGGGCAAAGAGGACGGTGAAAAAACAACAATAGGTCTGATTAGCAACAAAACAACTTTGCACGTGCAGCGCACTTTTTTTGTACATTTCTTGCCGTTGTTTTGCACGACTACAATGTAAAACTTCTAGAAACTTCCTGGTTACCTCTGGTTACCCGTTTTATGGAGGAAATGTAGTACGTGTTCTTGTTCACTTTTTTTTTTTTCACTGCCGCTCAATTTTCACCTTGGTGGCCTCTAGCACTTCTCATTTTCACACCGCCGCTACAAAATTTTCATGTTGTTCTTCCAACAAAAAATGTCTCCTTTGTTTTTTATCTCTCGCTCTAGCTCTCTGTCGCTCTTTTTCTCGTTGAACTTCGCTGGCCTGTCGCCTACTTTCTCTTTTTATTTCTCTGTCTTTCTCTTTCTCTATGTTCCAAATAAGTAGACATGACAATTAATCTACTCTTGATACTTTAGACAACACGGATACAGAAACAATTGTTGCCTTCCGTTTTCGTCTTAATTGACTCTTTAGTTGTCTCTGCTTCACAAGACGCGGATGCCAATGCGATTTCCCGCCAAAATAACCTCGAGTTGCATTTGGGTTACCATACCTGTTGATTGAGTTATTTTTCCATTGGTATGCCTGTGGTGCGGGTGGACGGTCGGTCGGGCGTACGGTCACATAATTACCAGAGTTTCTTAAATGGCTAGATTAACACATTTTCTTAGGCATGGGGCTGCGCTCGCGCGTGGAGCTCCGCTATCAGTCGTTGGGCCCCTGAAAACGAATAGTCAGGGCGGCTAGCTACGAGCGTCGCGCGTTGTGTCGCCTTGTGGAAAACGATGATATTCTACGACGCGCTACTCATTAACCGGTGGGCCTTGTTCGCAACGCACAGGGTTCGGGAACTTGCATGTTTCGGCCGCTCTATAAAGTGACATTTTATCCACTGGGTTAGTCTCTCTTGCAGCCGTTTTTAGTTTCGTCGCGCGTCACGCAACAGTATTCTCAAGTGGACTGGATAGCGTTTTATTCTGTGGTTAGCCATCTCTGATCAAATTTCGTCTGTCAAATTGTTTGTAACTTTCAATGAAATCTTTTATGTGCCTACCAGAAACAAACAATACTTAGAGCGACTGCAGTGTATTAGCAACTTGGAGAGCACAAGATAGCTGAAAAGTCAAGGCAGATTCCCTTACCTCATCTTGTACCCAGATCTCCCACGTCAAACTAGGAACCAGTGACATCAGTGAGATCTGCATACGAGAGAAACTGAGGAAACATCATATTGAATTGACCCAACCGAGAGGTGTGTCCAGAGATGCAACTTTCCAGTCTGAGATGACCTGCGTTGTTGCGTTACAGGACAACCTCAAATGCTAAACATTACACCATGAACGTGCCTTGAAACCAGGACGTCATAGAACTTGTTAAAATTTCTACTTTTTTTCTATATTCCATACCAGAGTACGGGTGAAAACACGACTAAGATATGACTGGATTATTCGTATATTAAACACTGTTTTTCTTTAACTTTCATCATAAATAAACAGAAAAACATACTTCAAAACATTCTAAAACTTTTTTTTTTCACTCTTTTCAGAATGTTTTTCGTCACAGACTCTGCTGTGAAATTGGGCGATTGTATATAAATTTAAAGAATCAAATTTCTCTTCATACTATTGTACCAGATCAGGAGCCGTTCACCCTGACCAGATCAGGGGTGAAATCAGCTCCTGACCAGATTGGCCAAAGCCTTACATACAACTAACACTTCACTTGACAGAATAACAATTAGTCTCAAAGTCTCAGATCTTAGTCTTGTAGCTTTCGACTGTATCGCACAGTCAGGTCTTCATCAGCAATGAACGTTTAGTGTTATATCCTGAATTAGTCACGTGACAACAAATGATGATTAAATATCGCGGAAAACAGAGATGGGGGTTATGAAACAAGACCGAGTCGCTCTGTGTGGAAGTTTTGAACTAAATTCGGTTTATTGCTCTGCAATAGTTGTATCTGCCCTCAGTTGTTCAAAATTAAAGGTGAATGGTTCTCTCCAATGGATAAATCTCTATCCAGTGTATAGTATTTAAAAGAAACGCTTGGTTTCCCTAATACTTATCCGCTGAATAGTTATTTGTCTATCCAACTTTTGAAATACGCGGGACAGAACGAGTCAATCATCGCTTTGCCGTTCCCAGGACTCTCCGTGTTTCTGACCCTCCAGGTTTTATCGAGCAGTTGACACGAGTGGACTGGTTTCGAACCGTCTGCGGTTTCATCTTTAATCCATGCCCATTTGATCGCCACTTAGGTGAGGTTTGGGAGAACTATTGATTAAAAGTAACGATGTAAAGAGGTATCATACTATTGCGAAGCAATGTTGCTCACCTAAATATAAGGTAGGTAGTTCGAACAAGCCCCGCAAACAACCAAATTTCATTCCTGAAGTTAAACCGCAGAACAGTAGCACACTCCTTATCTCAATTTCCGTTGTCCATAATGGCAAGCGCATAAGAAGTATGGAGCGCGCATGCACACTCCTATGATAAAGTAAAACCGGTATATTGCAGTCTATTCTGATACAATTTACCACCCGGACAGTAATCGCCTACGCTAAAGCAAATGACTGCTTCTAAAACAGCTACGTTTAACACTAGTACTGCACAACACTGAAGTTCGACAAAGATACTGAAATTCTATTTAGTCCAAAACAAAAAAGCAATCTGGCTCTCATCATATTGTGATCACAGAAAATTGACAAGCTAATTTAATCTATGTAGGAATACACTTAATCCTTTCTTTTTCAAGTTGATATTTTGTGTTAGATTTCTCCTTCTGTCTTAGGCGGGGCCTGCTTTTTTTATGATAAAAGAAGGCGAGATGTTTACTGCGAAAGGTGTATCTAACGGAGAAACATTGCATATAAAAAAACGTAATATGACCTCTCTCAAGGGGTGTAATTTTTAAGTCGGGTAAGCAGAGAACGACAGAGCTTGACTTGATTACTAGGGCTCTTAAAAGGCGCGCACAAAATCGGCAAAATTAACCCGGATGGGAGTTGTCATGGAAATATAATCATCGCCGATGGTCCGGAGAGGGAAGGGTGTACATAGTTTCTTCCCCAACCCGTCACCCCGCCTTTCAAACCAACGCTGTCCATGTCCAGCGAAATACTGTCGCCTGCAAGAAAACATCATTTGAGATAAATCAGTCCTTTGCCGTATTGCCAGCCTTGCATTCAGTTTTGTTTAAATTCCCAGTTCAAGTGACGTCTGGCATTAGCATCTCTACGTTAGAGATCCGGCAAGAAAGAACCAGTCGGTTTTATTTACGGGTTGAGTGGACCTCTACATTTGGGATACTCGCGTTTACTGATAAACACATTAGGTAGGGAAGCGGGAACGGGAAATACAGAAGAGCTTTGCCTTTTTTCTGCCCGTCCCTTCACCTACGGGATCAAGGAAGCGTGCCCCTAGGCCGGGAGGTTACTCAAGAACGTTTTATACGAGTAGGCTCCGCCCCTGAGGTCCAAATTTTGACCGAAAAGGTATCCGTTTGGTATACTGCTATTAACAAATAATTCTCCTTTCACATACCTGCTTTAGACCTTTCATCCGTTTCAGAAACTGCTGTAAATGACCTATCTTTGAAATATGAATAAATCACAAAACCAGAACGTTTTCTTAACTTTTTAACAGCCAAGAAATGCATCTCTTAGCCTTTATGAGCCGATTTCCCAACCATTTCATATACTTTAACCAATGAAATCACCACCCTTTCACATACCTGAAGCCTGAAACAAGGTATCCCTTTCGGGCGAACGCTTAGCCTGAGTATCAGGCGTTTCTGGGGGAAAAGGGGAAGGACAGAAGCGAAAAAGGGAGGGAGCGAAAGGAGAGGAACCCTCCTCCCCCTCCCCCCTCCCCCTTCTCACATCTCCTCTCCTCTCCCCTAGCCCCTTAGGAAGGCCTGATACTCAGGCTAACGAACGCTCCCCGTATAGGCCCTTAGGGACCTTACGAAACTATGACGGCGACGTCAACGGAACCTAAAAAAAGCAATAGGTTTAATTAGCAAAACAACAACTCTGCAAGTTGCTGTCCCTGCACAACTACGACGTGAAATGACCATGCAAATTTTAAGTTTACTTGAGAACGGGAACGGCAGGGCGATGAATTCTACCATCTCTGTCAGAACTCGGGCGCGGTCCCTTCTCTTCAGTTCCAAACTAAATTCCCTTCTTTTGAGTAACAGGGCCCTTTGGAATAATCGCGAAAAAAAGGGAAAGGATGCGAAGTTTACTTTTCAGCGACGTTTTCATGGACGTCGCCGTTGTCGGATTCAAATTTACATACATTGCGAGTGAAAAAAATAAAGTCATTAACCCTTATGCTATCAGAAAAGACTTCAAACCGCAAAAACGTAAACAAAATAGCTAGTCTGTTTCGATCAGTCACGTAATCACGCTTCGAATCGCATGATTCGCTTTTAAAAAAGTTTTCTTTACTTGTGATGTATTTAAAAATAAAGAACGTAACTTGAAAGGAGGGATGTTACTAAAACTACGGGGGAAAAGGGAACATGGACTGAAGAAAAACAGGAAAGGGGAACGAGCACGCACGGGAAACAGGAAATGAGAAATGGGAACAAAGCAGAGAATTCATTTTCATTTTCCCTTTCCGTTACGTGTTTGTATGTCTACATGTTTTGGAAAGATTGTAAATTAATTGGATTATGCCCGCTTATTTTAGAAATGTGAGGTATTATTAATTGGCTTACTTACATGATTAATTCGAGCTGTCATGCCCCTTTGGAGCTGCTGTGTTTTGAAAATTCTCTCGTTTTCTTATACTTCTCAAATTGGTCTCGCTAGATTTTTTGTTTCCTTTTTCATTCAGTTCATTACTGTTTTGCTCTTTGTTTAATGAGTTGTATTAAAACTAATAAGTATTTTTGAAACGTTCGTGGTATTAAACATTTCAATTCAAGTTGCGAAGAGGGCATAGTCTAACAGTGAGAAAAACTGTCACTTGTGTAAACAGTCGATTAAAAAGTGGCAAATTTGCATAAATGTTGAAAAAGATATTTTTAAAATATATATTTTCAAAATTTTACCTTAATGGCAAATCCTTTATGGCATTTGGGTGCTAAATCTTGGCAGGACGATTCCTACAATAGTCAGCAAACCCCTGATTTCTGTGAAAGTAAAAACGTTGCTTGTTGCCGCCGACCAAACATGTGCGGTCCAATGTGTCTTAGAACGTGCAGGTATAAATGAACGTGACACCCAGAATGAATAAGCCTGCGAGCAAGCTCTTGCTCGCAGGCTAAGAACGAACGGGCAGTTTTGCAAGCACGTGAATTTGGACTGAAATTTCGTGCTACGTTACATATTACCTTGTCCACAAATAAAATCCACAAGTGGACAAGAGACATAACAAAAACTTCAACCAGGTGCTCTTTTCAGAGAGCTATTTTTATTATGCAATACTATATCTGTGGATAGGTACGTTATTACAGTGGTAATAACAGATATACACCAATCAAGCCCAGTCTCTTAACATCGTTAGTCTAATACGTACTTATGATGCACTTGGTACATTTTCATTGTTAAAGTTTTTCAGTGAGCAAACCCAAAAAGGCAATTTTTTTATCCTCTTATCTTTTACGCTCTGAGTTCCCTAGTTGAGTGAATAGGGCAACAAGACGCGAAAAGGCAAAAGGAGACGACTGCCAAGGCTCACCAACGCGTTATGGCCAGCCCGCCAAGTTCGCAATCAATACTTGAGTGTCTTGTTTTTGAGGGTTTTATCGATATGTTCGTATCCGCGGGTGAAGGTTAGTTTCCCCTAACCGAAATATTGGGCAAATGGGATATCCATCTACTTATAGCCTGTGAACAGGCTCTCTGCTCACCCTTTCCTCTCCTCGCGATTTTTTCACCCTTTTCCCCAAACAGAGAGCCTGTTCACAGGCTATCCTCTAACTGTCCGATCAGCCAGCCTTAGGCCCGTTTCAAACGTCGTGCCGCTACTGCCTTACTGAATTGATCGCCGGAATTAAATTCGACTTTAGCACGGTAGTAGCGCGACGTAGCAGCTCGACTTGGTATCGAACGTCGCGCTACTGCCGCGCTGAACTCAATTTATAAGTTATAAATACATTAAAATACATTTTGAGAAGTTCACTAAACCGCCTTTTATTTTTAAGTGTTGTTTCCCGCAACAGCTATTTTATTCAGACTGAGTTAAATTCGACGTCTAAAACCAAGTCGTGCTACAGTCGTGCTGAAGTCGAGCCAGCTTAGAACGGCGATAGCACGACGTTTGAAACAGGCCTTACACATCACACAAGTTGAACAAACAAAAAACGAAAGCTTTACCTATACTAGTTTGCATAATTTCACGCAAATTTTCTCATCTGTCAAATTTATTTGTTTTTTCCTTCACGCTAATTAGTTACTTATCTTACTTTGTTTTTTGATTTAAATTTAGTTACTACTCATGTTAACGTTCACTTCTGAAAATGTATGTTGAAGCATACGAAACGTCGAGATCGATATTATAAAAGTCAGTTATACAATGCTTTTGTTATTTCTGATGTTTGTAACCGCAGTTTGTGTGTTATTCCTTTTTTTGATTACCTAACATCCGGTAAATAAACTAGGTTATTGCCACGCGATAAGCGTGCGGTTGAAAAGGAGCACGTTTTCCAGCTATTTTTGAATTTGTTATGCAAATTTTTATGACTACGGGAATGTCCCAGCCGATGTTTAAAAAGGTGAATACAAGGTTGTTAGGTATTCAGAAGTTTAGCGCCGCGTCACAAAGATGACTTCCGTGTTTGAAGCATCACATGAAAAAACTAATGGAACAAAACTTGTACGTTTAGTGATTGATGGAGGAACACACGCGTTAAGGACGTTTTTGCACACTATTTATCCCCCGGGCGTATTACGAGCAGCATTGGCGCGCAACCGTGGAACACTTGAGGTTCTTAAATCGAGAAGAGCGATCTTTGATAGCCAGTGGGAGTCGCTATTTCCTTCTTCAGGTGACCCAGCAGATTCCGAGAGATTCGACATTACCCTTTTGCATTTGTTGCTTCGGGAAATTTGTTATTTGGCGCCGTCTTTGACAGGATGGAACAATCCACCTGCCGATACTGATTTTAGTTACGAAGCAAATATTGTGCGAATAAAATTCTTCAGAAATGAGCTATGTCATGGTATTTCTACTGGGATTACAAACGCCGAGTTTGAAGATAAGTGGAACAAGATTTCAAAGTCGCTAGTCGCTTTGGGACTCGATCAAAATGAGATAGACCGTCTTAAGACTAAACCAATTGATCACGATACTGAAAGCCGTGTAAAGGCGGAAGTGGAAAGATGGACTCGAGATTTTGAGACACAAATACAGCTCTTGGAGCTAGAGGTAAAGCAGATGAAAGATAAAATCTCAAGGATTCAAGTTTCAGTTTCAGGAACAGGCGCTGGTGAGCTTGCAAATTGCCTTCCAGATGAAGATCCGAAAGTGTTTGGCCGTTCAGAGGAGATAAGACAAGTCACAGAGGCTATCCAAACTAAGGGCGTGGCCACTGTTGTGATAACAGGGGGGCCAGGGTTTGGAAAAACCACAGTGGCCAACAAAGTGGCTCATGAACTGGTAGGTGTTTGCAAAAACACAGTTTTGTATTGCCCGATTAGATCAAAAACAACAGTTGATGATGTAGCAACATCTATGATTCTTGCCTGCAATAAAAATCACTCTCATCCCCCGCGGAATCCTCATCATTGGCTGCTTAACTGGAGCAAGCAACAAATGAACAATGTTACTTTCATTTTAGACAATGCTGATGACGTTCTTAATTCGAATGACCAACCGCACTTCATAAGCCTTTTATGTGACATGAGAATCTTATCAGGGCAGAATATTAATTTCGTTGTTACATCTCGAAGAGTATTCAAAGATTCCGGCTTGAAGATGATAGAAGTCAGGCTAAAACCCTTACCACCTGAAGAGTCTCGAAGAGTTCTTACCGAACAAATCTCTGATGACTGTATCAAAAAGCAGCTGTCCAAAACAGACATTCTAGTTGAACTGTGTGGTTGTGTGCCCCTTGCTCTCTGCATCGTTGGCTCATTGCTCTTAGACTACACAGAAGATGAACTGATTAACAGTCTTAAGGAAAGACCATTGGATGTGCTTCGAGAAGATGAAAGTGATGATAATTCTGTTGAAAAGGCTATTAAAACCTCTTATGATGTTTTGAGCCATATTGAGCAGCAAGCCCTGCTTGTTATGTCAGCCTTCCCTGGTTCTTTTAGCTCTGAAGCTGCCAGGACTGTAATTAATAACTGCACAAGCTGCACTACTCAGCCGATATCAATTCTTCGTTCTTTGAAAAATCGGTCACTCATTGAACAACCAGCTTCACAGAGATATCAGATCCACCCACTTATACAGGCATTTCTGAAAACAATTGATCAAGATATTGGTACCCAGCTTGTCATATGGGGAGAAAGAGTGGCTTGTGCTTACTTTATTTCTCAGCTTGCTGACAATGCCGACCTATACTGGACCAAGGACATGTGCAAAGAGTCCATTCAGCGTTTTAATAAGGACAGACATAACTTTGAATATTTCCTCAAAGCCTGTATCAGTGGGTTGAAGAATGAAGATCCTGATGTCTTAGCAGTCATGGAAACCTTAGTGGAGAGGATTTCCCAAATATCTTCAATATACTTGTATTTGGAAATGTGCCTTCTTCCTAGTTTTTATGTGGAGTTCCTTAAACTTTCTTGTAATTTGTTGACATCCGGTGATCACCCTGCTAACAAAAGAGTGGAGCTTCTCTGCCTTGTTGGGCATGAAAGCAGAAGAGCTGGAGATCTCAACAAGTACAAGGAGTTTCAGGAAAAGGCCAGAGAAACGTTCTCGCAGAATCCTGCAGAAATTGAGGTTGAAAAGGTGTCAGAAGCTTTTTTCTACAACAACAATGCACGCTTTCTGGCTGAAGAAGGAAAACTAGATGAAGCAAAAGAAGAATTTGACTTCTGTCTTTACATATGTGAGGGACATTTATCTTTGGATTACATGTATGTACAGAAAGCAATAACTTTGCTTTTTGCTGGTTATGAAGACAATCGTCGCAATGAACGCCACGAGGCTAACCAAAAACTGAATGAAGCATTGAACCTTTATCGAAGAGTCCTTGGCAAACATGTCATGACTGCTTGGGCTCACAGATATCTTGCAGATTTTCTCCTCTTTCACGTTGACAATAGTTTTGGAACAGCAGAAGACCAGCAAAAATGCATGAAACTTTATGAGAATGCATTAGAAATTATGGAAAGTCTTGGAATGGCTGACCACAAAGAGTGTATTCTGAGTCTGACAAACTTAGGAATTTGTCACCAGTTGCAAGGCAATCAAGAACAAGCAATGATATTGTATCAAAGAGCATTGCACATTGCAGAAAGGGAACTAGGAGAGAATCACACGTGGAAAGTGTATCTAAAAACGCAAATGGCTTACTGGAATAAAGAAAATGGGAAATTGGACGAGGCAAAAGCATTGAAAGACGATGCAGTGCGAAGGAGTTATACGCTAGGGCTACCAGACAATCAACCACGCAACAAATTTCTGTTGCAGAAAATTTGACACTGGGTTAAAACAAGACTATGCAATAACTTAGACATTTCCACACGTTTTATCCTTTTACGGAGGAACAGGGACTAATTTTAAGGCCATTGTAATCTAAACATTTGCTCAAAGATTAATGGGATCAATATAGGTTTCTGGGACACTGCCCACCTACCCCTCCCCTAAGCTAACATTAACACTTACTTCTCGCTTAGGGCAAAATGATAGCTTAGGGGAGGGGTAGGTGGGCAGTTTCCCCGAAACCTAAATTGATTCGATTAATGATTGTTGAATTGTTTTCTTAATTCAGAAGAGAAATGTACTTACATGACGGAGGGTCCTTATTTTCAGTAGTTGTTTTGACTGAATGGCACATTGAATACCAAACAGAGAGCTTAAGCAATAATGACAAAGAAAAGGCATGGCTATAAATCAAATATGGGCAAATTCTTCTGAAACGGGAGTTTTATACTTGTGCTTAAATTTCTGTGGTCGCTTGCTTTAGATTCTCCATGTAATTGTCTGCAGTTTTTCCGGGGAAATTTTAGTCGGTAGTATCCTAAGGCGACGCCTTCAGAAAATGTCATCTACTATGCGTAGCTCCAGAAAATTTCTAGCCACGCCCCTGCTACACATGACTAAAAGCTGCGAAACGTCAACGCAGATTTCGTCGGCTATTCGAATTCTTCTGGAAACATTGGTGCCATATAAGGCGTTCAAATGTCTACTTTATCTGCTCAGCTAAGTCCTATTTTTCTACACCAGAGTAGTGTGAGAACACGTTTATATGGCTGGGTTTTGTATTTTTTTTTTCTGTTGCTTTATCATAAATACAAAAAATCTTTCTTCATTTCATTCTCAAAATACATTTTTATTCTCTTTATATCTTTTTGCAGCGAAACATAATTGGACGATCGTATAATACGGAAACTTAAACTTCTTTCTTTACTATTCTACCAGTTTTATACTAACAGTGCACCCCAGGAAAAGCCCTGGGGATGAAGTCGTCAGAAACTTCTCATGCACGGTTTCCAGTTCCGTTTTCAGCCAAGTAATGACCTGCGCAAAAGTAGTGCAAGCGTACCCTGGGTACCAGAGGTTTTTTCTCGCGGCTCGTGGCTAAGGCACCCAATCAACCGTCTGGTACCCAGAATACGCCTGCACTTGCAGTGCACTCGTATTTTTACGGCGACCAAGCTCCTATTAATTCCTGAAGCATCAAGTTATCTTCTTTGATTCTGAGAGCAGATCGGCGGAATACGGGGAAGCAGGAAGTGCAATCAGTGGTGTGGGAATAAGGCTGGCAGAATTTTCTTGCTTGTCTTCCCCACCTCCAGCTGGCCCGACAGGCACTTATCTAAACTCGTCCTTCAATACCCAAATCCCCTTCTTTGTCGACGAGTCTCTCTTAAAAGTACATATTTGTCTAAGCATCGAGCGAAACAAGACCGAGTCGCTCTGTGGAAGTTTGGAACCAAATTCGTTCAAAATCTCTTGCGTGGTCGCTTGTCCAACAGTTGTACATTGCAACGCGATGAAATTTCGCATCTGAACGAGCAAATCATCGTTTTGGTCCTCAGGACTTTCTGTGTTGGCGTTTTCGCTGACTACCAGGTTGTTTCTCGCCCGCATTTTGGCGAGCAGTTGACTTGAGTGGACTGGTTCCGAACCTTCGGCGATTGCACTGCTCATGCCCATTTGATCGCCACTAAAGTGAGGCTTGGGTTCTGCGCTTGACGAGGGCTGTGGATAAACAGTAGCAATATACACAGTTTATCAAAATATTTCATAGCTCTGTTGATCACCTGACCCCATAGAACCTAAACACAAGGTAAGCAGAGCCGCGCAACGGCCGCAAACAACCGCGTTCAGCCGTGAAGTTAAATTGATGCTACTCGGGTAAATTCGCAACAAATTCGCGGGAACAATGTTGCAACAATTCGAAACAATGTCACAGCAATGTTGACCGCAAAATAATCGGCAAGTGAAATCACCAATCGCAAAGCGTGAGTTCTCGCGGGACTCACTCTCCAAGAAATATGGAGTGCGAGCCGATAAGCGATGCGCGCGAGAAACGAGGACGCGCCCTCCTTCCTTGCGGCTAAGACCACGCACTCTCCAGTGACCACGTAAAAACCAGTGTATTGCAGTCTATTCTAAAATCCTATATACGGCACGGACACTACATGCCTAAACCGCCAGAGCAAAGAGCAGCTTAAAAAACAGAGACAAGGGTGCCTAAAACCGTACGTAAGAAGGAAGCAAGATACGTAAGAAGTTCTATTCAGACCACAACAAAGTAATTCAAGCCTTGCTCTTATTCTTTGCAATCACCAAAACACGGAAATTGCCCGTGAATTTATATACACATAATCCTTACTTGTGCAAGTTGCTGTGTTGCTGTAGATTTCTTCTTCTGTCCAAAGCGGGGTCTGCAGAGGAATGCAAAGCAAACCATATTAAAACTAGCAAGCTAGTTAAGAGAGAAGAACAAAAAGATAGTCTAGTGAAGAGTTAAAGAGCATTTTTTTAGGAACAAAAGAAAACAATCCAAACGCCGAACATCAAAGTCTCGTTGAATTTATCCAATATCGAAAAGCTGCAACCATTTTCTAAACAAGAGAGTAAAACAATCATACCTCTATCCCCCTGGGTGGGATCTTGAATCACAACGTAATTCTCCCTACCACCTCTAGCCTGCGTATAAGTTTCCATGTGCAGGACAGGGCGAGTGGTTCAGCGGGTCGGTGGGCACTTGGTCTTGCTCTACTCCTTTTTTCTTGTGCTTTGCTCAAACAGGAAAGGTCACTACGCAAACTATAGCCTGAGGGCAAGCTCATCTGAGTCGCGAGAGATTCCGCGAAAGGAAACGCGAGTGCGTGGGGCGGGCTTCGCCGCGCGTTCGCTCGCCATAAATGGATGGCTTGCACGCAGGCTACGCAAGCTATACCATCTTCCCACCTTGACACGACAGACTACCATTAATACCATACGAACCACTACAAATAATTTTCGTGTCTATATTCACCTTTTTGGGGGTGGTTCCGACAGACCAGATGAGCCTGATGAGCCTGTCCAAGTAGGAACACCACTAGCCGCACCCAGACATTGTCTGCGTGACCGTTTGAGGGCTTTAACAGCATTCTCTGCGACTCGATTTGCCTCGCTTTCAACCAAGGCTAAATCAGGATTACTAGATTCCATGATGACGTCATGTTTCAAGGCACTGTGTACACCTATAAAATTGTTGTTGAATCTACTGGCTAATTTCTCACGAGAGCATAAAAAGAGTTGCTTTAAGTATGCAAGTGCTTTAAACCGATTGCGGCGCGTGTACGCGAAGACAATCTTCGAGTACAAATGCACCCCAAGGGCAAAAAAAATGTAGGCGTTTCGTCCTGAACACTGAAAGTGATATCAAAATCTGAGATTTTCATCCCCTTAAACGAGAAGATGCCCAGGGTACAAGGGATTTTTTCTCGCGTGCGGCGGGATGCTTCGGGGTCGACCGAAGGCCGAAGCCACAAGCGGACAGGGGATCGGGGATGGGAAAAGAGAGCCCCGGGAACCTGTTCATAGGCTGAGAGTAACCCAAAAAATGTGTCATCTGTGTTTGAAATCAGTGGTAATTTTAAAATCGAAATGACCGGATTAATATTCATTCTTCGTTTGAAACCCTCACAAGAGAACGTTTAAATCTGTTGGAACCCAAGATAAGGGCTATTCTAAAACAGTGTCACTTTTTAGCTGCCTTCATCTCATACCTGTTTTCTTGAAGAGATGCTTGAGAATGAACTCGTCTTGATGGGCACTGTGCTGTTTCTGCTCCTCCATTTCTTCAGCACTTGACTGACTTGCATTGGAAGGGTTGTACATTTCATGATAATCCAGGTTGTCGATAGCCCGACCATCAATTTCTTTTAAACAAAAACAAATTTTATTCACAAGTGCACAATATTATTTTTGTTTCTTTTTCTCAAATGGATGAATTATCTCTTCCTCCTCTCTACAAAACAGACTGATGGTTTCCCCTCAGATGTCCGGTTCATAATATACACTTAGTGGAAAAGACTAGTTACGAAGCCGGCAAACATGAAAGATAAAAACAACGGTTCTGAAGTTTATGTTGGAAGCTTCCTAACAATTTTTGACTGACCAAATTGATGCAACGTTCTTATTGTCAATAAGATCAAAATGATATCAAGCAATCAAGCAATTATCAAGCAATCACTAACTTGCTCTTCGACGTTTTTTCTTCTTTTCTTTCATTCTGATTCTCTTCTTCAGCTCCTGGTCGCTTAAAGACGAAATCTTGTTCTTGCGCTTCTTGGGATATCCGCCACTAGTCCCTTGATTTTTCGCACCTTCTCCACTTACAAGATTTTCGGCCGCAAATGTCACTGTTTTCTTTCTTTCTGTTTTTGCTTCCATTCCCAGCTGTAGCGAGCTGTTGATTATTCCATCCTGTCTTGCAGGAATTGAAGTAACTTCAGATGGGGACGGGGGGGCTTGTTCTTTTTCAGAAATACTAGAATTTTTAGAAACTGCATTTTCCTCCGTAAAATTTTCACTTGTAGTCGCATTCATTTGCCCAATTTTCTTTCCGTTTTCTATATTTCCAACGACTATCTGTTTCCCCGTTTCAGTGACCTCTCCTTCGCCCCCCTCGCAATTGCTAATTTTATCTTTCTTTAGTTCATCATTCGTTAAATTTTTCGCCTCCTGAATGTCTCTCCAATCGATACAGAATGCGCCGCTGTCGTTCCCTTCATCTTGCACCTTCTTGCTAACCTCTTTTTTCGCTTGCTTTGTCCCCTTCTTCTCCTTGGAAGTGGCATCTTCCTCCCCTGTCATTTTTCTCTTTTTTCTGTGGACTCCAGGAACTTTGACTTCGCAGTTAGATCCAGCAAAAATGGCGCTCGTCTCGGTGCCATAGCGCTTGTCGCAATTGTCCAGAGTAAATAGCTCGTAAAGATCATTGGATTTGAAGAATCTTCGCTGCTTTGGGTCCTTGAGCACGCGGTTAGTCAAAAACTGTTTAAAAATTTGCCTGCCAAGAGATGCAATTTGAAGTCAGTAATGGTTGCTGTGAGCCAATGTGTTCTGCCATTGTAATGTATTCACTTATTTCAGGTGGTCAGACTGTGCAACCTTGTCCCCAGGGCACACCCCTTGGACACTGGGAAGGGCGGGAACAATCCTGGGAACGAGGCTGCGGTCAACACTTATTTCCATCCGCCAAACAGAAAGAAAGAAAACAGTGACACTTATTTCCATCCGCCAAGCGCCTGGAGCAGATAGTCAACACGTCAGATGAGATAATGACTTAAATTCTTCCGCGGCAGTAGTTTCGCATATTTAGTCGATTTGCGCATCGCCGAACGTTTGAATAAGAAGCGCGAAATTAACACACATATAGGGTATAGAAACGAAATGTCTGCAATAAGTACATGTAAAGCATTTGTTATTTGAACTACTCATTTTTTTTCAAAATCGTCTGCCAGTTCGAAAGAATTCAAGTGCGCGAAATCATGCACGGAATATAAGAGCGAAAAGGCACGGCAAATCACACTAAATTTAGCCTGCAAGCCCCGAACCGCCACAACCGCCCGGCTGAATTTCAAAGGGCGCATTGGTGAGTCCATTCGTTTCCCTTCAAACGGTAAGCTCAACTCTGGGCGGAAAAACACGCAGCCTGTACCAGGCACGCGACTGTTGATTATAAAGGCTGCGCCTGAAGCCGTCCCCTCTCTCTTACCTATGATAAATCTTCTCCTCTATTGTACCAGTAGTAATCAGGCGATATATAGTGACAGGTTTCTTCTGGCCAATTCTCCAGGCTCGTTCACGCGCCTGTGTGTCCGTGCTGGGGTTCCAGTCAGGGTCATAAATAATAATCCTGTCTGCTCCCACTAGATTTACCCCCAGACCTCCAACGCGAGTTGTGAGTAGGAACATGAAGATTGACCGATCCTATTTCACATATAGATAACAAATTATCAGTATTAAAGCCCTAGATTTCTCCTTCGGTGATTTTACATTTATATCAACCGATAATTAAATTTTAGGAGGAGTAAATAAACAGATGGATACCTGTGATGGTGGTCAATACCCTGCGTAGAAGGCGCTTGGAAGTAGTGGGCTCAAGAAAAAACGGGCGCGCGAGAAAGAGACACGCGAGAGGAGAACTCCCTCACCCCTCGCGCGTCTCCCTCGCGCGCGCCCCTTCTCTCACTACTTCCAAGCGCCTGCTACGCAGGCTAGGCATCAACCCTTTTTAAACCCCAAATGTGACCAACATGAATTTTCTCCCAACAATATCAAAACATAACCAAGCTTATAGGTTAGGAGAATTATTAAAATAATCACCAAGGGAAAATGCTTTGATCTTTTAACAAATGCTCTCTACTTATTCCTTAGGGAGACGTACGGAGATCAGGCTGGAGAATTTGTATGTGAATATTGGGGCTTAAAAGATTCAGCGAATACAATTTACACATAATAATTAATTAAGTCCGGTAAAGCGACGACGATGACGACGGCGGCAGTGAAAAGACGCTGAAAAAATTCAATTTGCGTTTTTTCAAACTTTATTGCGTCTATTTGGACCCTTTCAATTTGTCAAATGTAGGCTATTTCTCCTGGAGTTGAATTCTTAAGGATTTTATTCAGGTTCAAAAAGAGGAAAATTCTTCTTCGTACGTTCACGTCCTCCATAAAATGTCGCATTAGGAGGTTTCACATCGTAGTCATGCAGTGGACGTCAAGGAAATGTACTAAAAAGCATGATGCACGTGTAGAGCTGTTGTTTTGCTCATAAAACCAATTGTTTTTTGACATTTTCGTTGTCGTCGTCGTTGCCTAAAGGTGACGTTACAGGTGACGATTTGCATCGACGATTTTCAGCGAACCACAGCATTGCAATGTTGGAACAATGCTGGCATCATTCGAAATAACGCCACAACAATGCTGTAATGCTGTGTTGCTCTAAAAATCGTTGTTGCGAATCGTCCCGTATAACATCATCTTTAACCTCCCTATTAACTGCGGTAAACGACAGTGAAATCAACACTACAACAGATTCGACTTTTACCTCATTGTACTTTTTAATCAAGCCCTGTCTTGATGCAACCGGCGTGGAACCATCAAGTCTAAAGTAAGTGTAACCTTTCGAAACCACAAACTTTTCCAGGATGTTTAACATCTGTGAAAATAAGCCGAAAAATAATGGTAAAACCAATCACAAAGCGAACTCTCTCTAAGTCGGAAGTCCTCAAAGCTAGCAAGGCTGTCCACCTCACCTGATGGAAATTTAGTTGCAGACAAACAAGTGAATAACATGTGTCTAGCCTACGAATATGTTTTCTGATTGAGAAAAGTCGTAGATGACGCCCTCGCGCCTCGCGCTCTCCGCTCGCGAGTGATCATGAGCCTTTCGCGATAACATGTCTAGCCTGCGAGAAAGTTCTCTGATTGAGAAGAGTCGTAGATGACGCCCTCGCGCCTCGCGCTTTCCGCTCGCGAGTGGTCATGAGCCTCTTACGATAATTGAAGGGGAAGAGGCAATAAAGGAGCGTGAGAACCGATGGGCGCGCGAGGTGCGCACCCTTTATGCACTCGTGCGCCTTAAATCCCCCTTTTAAATGCCTATCTCGCAGTCTACTAAACAGGTCCGTCTATAAGCCCTGGTAATATGTCAATGGTCAAAACAATCTCTCAGTATTTGGTTAAAGCCAATGTTGTTAATTGAGACTGTCTTAACGTCCCAGTGACTTGACCCTCTCTCTCAATTTTGTTGTTCTTCAGGAAGCACTGTATATCTGTATTGTCTTTTTTTTTTTTTAAGTGAAACAATCCTCTTTCATGAGGAAAATTGCATAGTCTTCTCATCTCAACATTTTCCGTATAAATGTTGAGAGAACGTTCGGGTTCACAGACACATTCCTTTTAAATCTTTTAAAAGAGGATGAAATAGAGGTTGCACGTCCACGAAATGGTTCTTTGTCTACCTAATTCCTGGCCGAATAGGCCATTTGCACTTTGATTTGAACCCGGGCCACACTGGTGGGAGTGAGTGCTCACACCACTGCGCCACTCATGCAACCCTTACGCATTTTACTAACTAACCTGCTTTGTTTGTGAAAATAGAAGTACTCGATGACCTTGCTCGCGCCACATGTTCAACAACGCCTCAACAACAACCATCTTTCCAGACCTACTCCCGTCCCCATACCCATCCTCAGGGTCTTGTTGATCTTCCTCGCCCCTCTCTTTCAGTTCAGCAGCTTTCAGCTCATCCTGTTTGGCTTTCCACAGGGATCCTGCTTCGGACGTTAGATCCGGGTGATTGCAAATCTTACGCAGCATAATCAGGCCTGGAAAAACCTACAGTATGATAAAACTTGCGCATTAATCTTCTCGAAATCTTGTTCGAAAGATTAGCAGCGGCACAATTCGAGGGTATCATCGGAGAACGTGCCCTTTATGTAACTGTACGCCTCGGCTTAATTTCCCCCTCTTCCCATTCTAACGCCTACCACTCAGGCTTTCACGGCGTTTAAACAGGGAAGGAAGGAATTTAAACAAAGCCATCCTAGTACTAAACGTTGACTTTAATTTACTCCGCTTTGCCAGACTTAACAGGGGCACCAAAAACCTTTTGCCAGTCACTGTGGGGCCGGGCCTGTACAACATAGCAGTCCCTTTAACCACACAACTAATGAAAAACCGACCACGCTACTGAGGCTATTGAGATCATACACTGAGATCATCGGATCAACCCCTGTACTTCACGAAATGAAAGAGGTTAGGGATAGGGTCACTGGGAATGATCTGATCCAGTCCGATCTAGGTTCTGTTCATTGTCACCATTCTGTTCAATGATAACTCCAAAAGAAAGGATCAAGGACACAAGTTGGTTAGCCTTCCACGCAAACGTTCTCAGGGGTTCGTCACGCGTTCCTACAATGTACAAGTTGGTGTGCAGCCAAATCGTTTCTAAAACACGAAAGGATTACCTTGTAGTTACCAGCAAGAATCGCCTGCACTTCCTTAGAATTTAAATACTGTTGGTACAGTTCCCTCTGCTCTTCTGTAAGTCGACAGAAAAGAACCTGAAAGTAAAGAAGCGAAACGGTAATCCTACTTCTGGCAATCTTTAGGATAGACTGCATGAAGTCTTCTATTTCTTAGCAGAATTGGCAGAGTGGTCTTAACCAAATCTTAATGAGAAGCACAGATTATTACCTTTTACCAGAAGGACAGCGTGGGTGACAGGTGCTTGGAGGGTAGGGGGCAGGGGGAAAATCGGGCGGGTGATGTGAGAACATGGTGGTGCGAAAGGAAGGGGAAATGGAGAGGAACACCTGGCTTGAATACCCTTTGTGTTCTCGTGCACTCGATTTTGCCCATCCCTTTTGCATTCATACCACTTAAGCTAGCGAGGCGTCACCATATGCAAGGAAATAAAACCGGATATTTTTCTGCCTCCTTGCATTACACCCGCAAGTGGAGGTGATTTTCCACATCCAAGAATGTTTTGCTTGCTTTGCTATGGTAATCATTGTCAGGCTTTGGGAATGTGGCTTATAAGATTATGCTAAGCAGACATCTAGCAGATCGAAAAACAACTTTCAGCCAAACCTGTTCATTCTTAGTTGGGAGATCCAAACTCATCTTAACATCTTTCTTCAACCTTCTCAGAAGGTAAGGGTTTATTGTGTCTCTAAGGACACATGCGCACTTGTAGGCAGTCTCAACCTGAAACGAATTGACAATATTGTAATCTGCACATACTTTCGATAATACTGACCTCAACAGCATGCAAAGCATAATGTTACATATCAACCCGCAAGGCCCCCCTCACCCCACCTCAGTATATAGAGTGCATGCCCACCTTGTGTATGGAAGGCGATGGGTTGCAATCTTTCAGGGTCTCAATTTTGATCTTTGTCCCACTCTCTTTAGACTGCAAGGAGTCTCTTATTTTTCTTTTAAGACACAGTAGATCAAGAGCGTGTGTGAGGGGTGAGAGGCATAGCTGTGACTCTTCCTTTTTACCATCAATAAGTTTACTTCTTCACTCTTTGTGCATGGCTCAGAGGAAAGAAAGACAACTACCCGCAGTTTATACTGATCTAATATGAGCAACAGATTATTACGTCTCACTAATTACTAAACTATTGTATTGAGCTTTATTCAAAGGCATAATGTCTGTTGTGTACCTGAACTTTTGTAGCATTTGAGTACCCGCCCATTGTTATCGGTACAGAGAATTCGGTCATGAACACTGGGAGAGTTCCAAGTTTGCCAGGAAATACAAAGTCAAAAAGCGACCACAGTTCTCGTAAGTTGTTCTGCATGGGGGAACCTGAAAGGATGATCCGGTGAGGAGTTCTGAACTGTGAGACAAACAGAAAATAGACAGTGAACTCTCTTTGAGCCAGACACCCTTGAGGGCTAACTCTAGTTGTCTTAAGTTGCTCTAGTCGTCCATTTAACTCAGAGAAGGCTTAGCCTGCTACATGTATAAGCAACTTGCCTGTCAGCAAAGCTGGGCAAGCTGTACAGGCGGACATGCAAAACTAGAGGAAACTTAAGCAAGCAGAAAAGAGATTGAGGGAGAATTGGAAAGCCTTCTCCCCATTTTTCCTTATTTTGTCATGTAGACATGCCCTCCCCCCAACAATCCTGAGAAACTGTTAGCAGTCTACAGAGGCTTCCACATCAATAGACTGACTGACATGGTACAAGGCTTAAAGGTGTCTGGTTTTGGGGGCAGGTTACCTATATTTTTGAGGTTATTTCAGTTAATTAAAAAGGAGGCACTGTGGCTTAGAGTTTAGAGAACGGACTTGTAATCCCGAGGCCCTGAGTTCTTATGTCCCACGCCAACTGTGTAACAGATTAGTTCTTGGTAGTCCCATGGATAATAGAAAGACTGGATAGGAAACTGGCTGACGCGATCGGTTCCAACATAGTGGAAAAATGTGACGTCACATTATTGAGAGCCATTCAACCTCTTTCGACGTTTTGCGCGTCTTATGTTTCCTTGCATATTTCACTATCTCTGCCTTCGACTATACATATTGGCCATGTTTTGAAGTAAAGGATGAAGAGGACTTCCTCTTGGAGAAGACAGTTAGAGGGTACAAAACTGGTAGAGGCAAAAGACGGAGTAAATGATTATGAAACTTGTGAAAGCGACGAATGACTCCAGCGCCCGATAAGTTTTAATATGCACCAAACGGGAAGCCTAACTACATAAAAAGTATGCGAAAACTTACATGTATGCAGCTAAAAAACACCTATAAAAAAGGGACAGCCTAATTTTCTTCAAACCATATGAAAACCGGAAATAATTTTAACCCTTTTTATCACGGTTTTCAAAATTTCTTTTCTGCTTTTATCAACAAGCTCAGCGAGTGTCAAATTTTATAAGTTAACAACCCTTGACAAAATGATTTTATTAGCGGTAAAAGTACCCAGCTCAAACAAGCGTTTAATTTTCCCTTCAATTTTATTTACGGCCAACCAGTGACAAGAAGTCGTATTTGAGAAATATAAAAAAGCGGGGAAAAGCTCACAGCAGAGAAAGGAAATTTGCTTGCGGACCACCGTGGAAACGCCGTTTCTAAACTTTTTCAAATCAATTTTCATTGTGAAGCAAGTTGTTTTGTCATTTTCAGGTATAAATGTACAGTGACCCAAGGTACTTTTCAGTCAGGTCTTTGAAAAAGCGAACTGCAACGCTTTTAAAAATGTTATGTAAAACGGTTAACTGTTAACTACTAGAATACAAACTGGGAAGCAAACTCTCCCGGTTAATAGTAGAACCTTCACTTCTTTTTCATTGGGAAACACTTGTCTTCCGTAAGGCTTAATAAAACCTAGAAATGTATTATCTCTGAAATACTGACCTTTTTTAGGATGAAACAAAGTTTAAGTTTTTGTGTAGTGTTAATGATATGGATAGGGAATACTGTACATCACCTCTGAAATAAACATAAACACTGTTCCCAAAGAAAAATAGAAGCTTCTTATATATATGAAAAAAAAAAGAGAAAACAAACAGTAACATCAGGGGTTATGTGGTTTTTGTTTAGTCTGAGGTAAGTGGATGAGGGATTGAAAAAATATGACTGTCTGGTCACATTATCATGTTGTTGAAAACAAAATGCATACCTCAAACAAGTACAGGTATATGTTTTATTAATTTGATTTAGAATATACCTTGGTAAGGTTTAGCATCTACAGATACATTGTTGCTTTGGATCTCTAAAAAACCGAATACAATAATAGTGCTAATCAAGTCCATCTTTGGTTTGAAAAACAATGTGATTCAGATATAGACCGTTTCAGGGAAAAACACTAACCAACTTAAACACATGACTCTGTAGCTAATACAAGCATTGACCCTCAAACACAGTTAATTTGTCCCACTCACAAAAGAGTAACAAATACACTTCAGAAGTGATAAATAAAGTTTCTGATCATAAATAATTTAGATGCCACCTTCTGGCTCTCATGCATGACAAAAGCAACTTTGTTGCTGTTTCATACAGAAAGATTGATTGATTTGTGCCCTCTCAGAAGAGTACTTGACCACAATTTTACTGTCTTTATTGACTATGTGTGTTCAGCAAATCCTACAAGAAAGAAAAACAAAAGGAAATCTAAAACACTGTTTAAAAAATAACAACAACAATTAGGAGCCTAAACGGAGGACAGAAATGTCAGTAGGTGTTTTCCCATTGATGCAACAATTATTTATAGTTTATGTAAGGGAAAAGTATAAAATTTATTCAAGTCTCTTCAGTGCCTTCGAATACAGGCTGCGAGGAGAGCGGTGAGGCGATTGTATTCACTGGATATGTAATAGAGTAGTTTTATTTCAACATTAAAAGATGAGCGAAATTAACATACTGCTTTTTTAATACGAACAATGAGCAGGGTTAATCTGGGATATTACTTGAGCGAAACAGTTCTCAACACAAACTTGTCAGTCGATTGGAACTTTACACACCGTGTGCGTACACTTGCTAGGCTCCAGCTCCGAACGTAGTGCGTTTCAGCCATTTTCAAATGAAATTTATGGCTGAAAAATAACAGTATTCAGTCTGTAACTATGCCTATGCCACAATTCCATCCTTAACACATCTGTCAATCGTAGTTAAGAATAGAAACAAGAGTAAATCTTCATAACAAAGGCGTCCCAAAACAGTCGCCAAGTGTACTAAATATAGCTCTGGTAAGGTCAACTTTTGGGACGCAGTTTTCTCAAAGACAAGGACAAATAACACAAAACAACAACAAGAAGTGCTTACCTTGAAGGTTCAAGTGTGGCTTTGAAGGATCGCCATCGCCGTAAGACAACAAACGAAGGAAAAAACACCCATCAAAAATTAAAGTACCACTAAAAAATCCGAAAAAGAACGACATGCAGGCAAAGAAACCCTACATTTCGACTGGTTTGCGCCACATTTTCGCCATCGTTTCGTCACAAACCTCCACTATGATGGAACCATCCAACGCCATCTTGGAGCACGAACTAACCAATCGGCGATAAGAAATCAGCCCACGTGACATAAGTTTCCTATCCAGTCTTTCTATTATCCATGGTAGTCCCAAGTGTGAATAATATTATCAGCCATGCTTGTAAATAACCCACTGGTTCGTCTCCTACCAGATGATGTTCTTAACCTTGTTACATCATGAAGGTTCCATTAGTTTAATTTCTTTGTTTCTGAAAAGCCCCACAAGGGAAGTGGACAATTAAGTATTTAAATTTAAATTAACTTTAAATCTTGTTGAGACAGTACCTGCTTACAAGCCAGTGTTATCTCAGCATCAGGATTTCTTATCTTGTGACCCTCATCCAAGATGACATAATCAAACCTTTGAGCAAGAAGGTTATCCTGGTGTTGACGCATTCCAGAATATGATGTAACCAACACACCATTTTCAGTACAGATCTTCTTGATCAGTTCTTGCTATAAAATTAATAAACCAAAAATCATCTGTTGGATATTTTATAGGTCAAAATAATAATTATTGGATATTAAATTTAGGATAATTTTTTAAATTAATCCAGGTTGAATCTCAATTTCCTTTGTCTCCTAGCCCTAATTATTCATGAATTATGGCTACGAGACAAAGGAAATGGAGAATCAACTACAATCCACCGTACCGAAAAAGATGGTGATTGGTACATTTACCCACAATTCTTAGCACACGAAAACCACAAAATTGCTCATAAAAACGCACAGAAAAGTTTTATAAACTTCAAACCTAGGATAGGCAATGTTGCTATTACGGGGACGATTTTCGCCCCCCCAAAATATAACTTTATTTGTTACTGGCCGTGTTAGGTTTGAAAGGAATTGTGGTAAAATGTACAGCTGCCTTCTTTTTCCGTATGGCGGATTGCAGGTTAAAAAATTTTTAACCTGAATTAAATTGTGACCTGTAACAGATATGCCATGACTAAAACCATTATTTAGTTTCATTGATTTACTTATTCTATTCTGTTTATTATTTGTATTATTATCAACATCATTATTAATATCATTGTTATCATCATCGTTACAGAGACATTCACACCTTTTTTCCTCTGTTTAAAAATAAAGAGGAGTCGGTCATGCACACATACATTTAGATGTACCAATTTTTATGCCAACACGATGAACACTAAATGACAAGTAAAAACTTGGTTCATTTGGTACAATAATATTCTTGATGGTTGCTGTTTGTCATAGATGTGATTCTAAATCTTTCTTTTGGCTCACCTTGAATCCCTGGTAAGTTCCTGTTTCATGTAATACAGCTACCCTAAACTCAGGCCACCATTTGTGAAACTCTTGCACCCATTGATGAAGAACTGTGACAGGACAAATAATCAAAACTGGACCAAGGCCACCATGCCTGTTGAAAAATTATCTTCTATTTATTATTAAGGTACAGCAAACCAGGCTGGAATGAACATGGGAGATTTTATTAACCTCCTCAATGAACAAGATACAGCTTTAGAGCACAACTGTACTTGCCTAGGGTTCAGGGAAATCAATGAGACCACATTACCACTGGTAATCCTCTAAGCCTTACAATTACATACAAATTCTAAATTTTGATTTTGTGCACTCATAAGTTTACAAAAGTTTAGATATTACATTTACATAACTAGGTTGGACAGAAGATGTCAATCAAGGTTTGAAGTTATCACACACAGGTGAGGTTTGACTTTCTCAATGTGAGATTGTACTGCCTCAATTACTATACATGTTACTGGACTCCTCTTACTTTTTTTTCTTTGCTGATATCTTGCTGTGCTTGAGTCCAGTTAGAAAAGCAATAATCTGAATTGTTTTTCCCAGGCCCATTTCATCACCAATAATGCCACCCGCCTGTTGGCAGTGAAGTTCCCAAAGCCACTGAACTCCTGTTTGCTGGTATCTTACAGTCATAGGTCAAATAACAAAAGGTTAGTAAACAATGGAATACATGAACAGTGTAAGGAATGATGGAATGAGATCATGAATGGATGGACACAACAAGATCCAACGACACAAGAGAAGGCTAGAGATGAATGGATGAGTGAAAATGATGGTGGGAAAATGGTGGAATGAGGCTAGTCTTTTGTCTATTTATAACTACTTTAAAACAGCAATAATATCATTATGTACCAATCCAGGTCCGCATGAAATTATCCATCACTAGAACCCTGGAAAAAACCTCTTGAGACATATTAAAAAAATACGTACTTTTTTGCATTCGTCCTGACAAAAATACTTACCATCGCAAATTAAAAGACCATTTCCTCCCTCCCCTATTACAATGTTGTTTGCGGTAACACAAGATATGCACATGGGGTGGGGAGGGGTGACTTTGTTCCGTTTCGACGAGATGGTTGCACGGCACAAAATTGAAAGATACATGGAAATGTCTCAACAGTTTTGTCCAGGGTTGTAGCTCCCCAGTTGGATAACCTTAACAAAATGTGCTGCAATGCCATGCAGTTGTAATTTACTGTATGAGAGGGTGAGGGGAGGGATGGATGAAAAGATGGATGGATAGGATGAATGGGAGGGATGTTATACATGGTCCAGTAAAATTAATAAGTTTGAGAATCTAAATATTTTACTCTCTGTCAGACTTACTTGTATAATTTATGCCAGATTTTCCCTGGAATTTTCAGCCCCTTGTCAAACTCCATGTCTGGAAGCTCTTCTTCATCACTTTCATCGGCTTGGGATTCCTTTCTCTTTTTGAGCAATTCTTTGATTCTCAACTCTCTTGATTTTTCACATAAAAGTATCAGTGAGTAAACAAGTGAGTACTGTTAAGTGAAAACTTCATTACTTATGGACTTGAATATATGATTTTTAACTTAACCTTTCGGGAGTTTAGATGGGTTAACCTTGCGCTATACTCAACATGTACAGTCAGGTTCTTTTCTAGATCAGGCTGGTCGAAAACAACTGGCAGCTGGTAAAACTCAACACCTACAACATGTTTTTGGACAGCTAGTCAACTGAGCTTTTTCTCCGAATCTATTTATTCAACAACAAAGCCATTTACTTCTACACTCTCTGAAAATCCTGTAGATGCCACTGTATTTTTATACTAGTAATAACCAAAGGTTAGGAGTGCAGGCGTAAGTTTCAGGCTTCTGATTGAAGATCAAAACACTCTTGCTCCAACACTGGCACTTTGCATTAATTTCAAATGAAGGAAGGTCAAAACATGGGTGATCAGATCATAAATGATAGCAGGTATAAATTTGCACGAGCAGATTGCATTCTAAGCATTCCATTCATTCTTAGTGGAAGTCTAAACAAATGCTGGTTACATAAGTGCCAAGCAAGCATACACTGTCATAGCATCCTGGAGAGTGGGATAGTATTTCGCGGGCTTCTCTCTCTTATCGCCTGGAATTGTTTTTAGTATCTTCAGAAGAAAGTCATTATTGATACATTACTTAAAAAAAATGTCTATTGGTAACTAAATTACCTGATTCTTTGACGGTACATTTTCTCACTTCCATCATCAACTGGTCTGGTGTCAATCTTTCTACTTTTCTTCTTTATCTTCTTTTTCTTCTTGGGTTTAAAACCATCCTCTTCTCTATATGCAACATTCAGCGAGCGTCTGCTCGCTGCAGGTTTCTTTCCTTTTCCAAGGTCCACTTTCTTGGTTTCTTCACTATCATCCTCATACCAACTGTACTTAAGTTCATTGTCATCAGGAACAAATTCATCATCATCATTATTGTCATCATCATTGTCAGAAATCTCTCCATCATCTGCTAATGATCTGACAAGAGATTTCCTTTGTACTTCTTGGGTTCTTTTGTCCACATCTCCACTTTGTTCATTAAATGATCCTACTTTTTCCAGTTGTATCTCTTTTCTGTCCTTAGCATTTCCCACAGTCCCTCCAAATGGTGTCATCTCACCTGTCTTAATCAGCTCATCCTTTGCAGAATGATTCTGTAATGTGACTGGAACTTTGTGGGTTTCGCTTTGATGGGCGGCAACATCAGAAGCATTTACTTTATCTGGAATCAATACATTTGCATGCACATTATTGTATTTGGAAAAGGTATATCAACAGGCTTTGTAAAGTTTTTAGAAACCAGATGTCTAATATACAACAAATTTAAAAAATAATTTAAATTTAATTAATTATTCTTCTCACATGTAATTTCTCTTACCATCAACTATACTAAACACCTTCAAAGTTCTAGTTTTAATCAAGCAAATGCGCCATCATTTGATAAAGCATAAAGCTAGCACTCCAAAATGCTACAAAACACTTCTTATCCATCACTTCTAGCTGTGGTGAGACAGAATAATGGTACTTTTGTATTCAGTATGGAAAGACTTTTTGCCGCATACAATGGAAGCATTATTACAATGACACCTTGTCTCATTACCTGGGACATCGATATCAGTATCTTCATCCAAAAGACCCAACTTGTTGTGCAGAGACTTCTGCGTTGCTTGCAGTTTCTTTAGCTGCCGTAGCTGTTAGGACAAAAAAAATTCAGGCTTGTTTCACAGTTGTCCTCTTAGAACGTACAGCTGAAAGTGATCTTCAGTAGAGTCAAACCCTGACACTAAGGGAGCCATAGAAAGTGTCCATTTAACCTTTTCACTGCCAGACTGGATGATGGAATTTGTGAGGTGGTTCTAACTTTTACTTCTGTGGACAAAATCCTATGGTGTGACCATTCAAATGAAATCTCTTTGCAAGTACTTTCATGTGGTGTTATTTGTTTTAAAAAATTTTACAAAATGAAATTTGGGATTTTTCTCAAATTTGCCTTTGGTCATATTTGGCAGTGAAAGGGTTAAGCAAGTTGAATATAGCCAAAATATAAGGGCTTTCTTTTCTCAGGGACAAAGGAAACTGTCTGTGATAATGGGGTGTCGATATTAGGAGGGTGTCCGTAAGGTGGGGTTTGACTATATTACATACACACTAAAACAGGAGTAGCATGCAGCAGTGGCAGCGGTGGTGGTACCAGTACATGTACCTTGTTATCCTTTTGCTTCTGAACTGCTTGTGTTCTGCGCCATGCTTCATATCCTGATCCACTCTTCCCCTCAAGTTGTTTTAAAATCTTGTCAATCCCCTGTATTTCTTCTTCCACTGTCCTATAATGTTGCATGTTTATACAGAGTATAATTAATAGCCAGGCATTGGATGCTACATGACATTGGACAAAGGGTTTACTCACTAAAAGTGATAGCTTCTTCGATAGCATTTCATTCTTGTGTGTTCTCGAGAAGCTTTAAGTGCTGACTAAATCCTTGGAAATTCATGAGCAGCAGACAGCTGACTTGCACCACCCGCTTGACCTTAATTGCCCCTTTAGTAGCCTGAGAAAACAGCCGACATTTGGCGATGCTACCACTGGTTTCCCCACCAAATGACGTCTGAGAAATGAGCACAGAAATTCCGCACTGATGACGCGTCACTACCCAGATCTGGGTAGTGTTTCTGATTGGTCGTGCCACGTAGGAAATTTGACTCAACCAATCAGAAGCACTACCCAGCTCCGGGTAGTAATGTGTCATCAGTATGGAATTTTTGCACTTGCTTCTCAGATGGCATTTAGCGGGGAAAACCACTGGTAGTGTCACCAAATGTCAGATGTTTTCTCAGACTACCCCTTTAGAAACAAGAAGGGAACTGGGCCAAGTTTACTTGCACAAAGACTTTTGAGACTTTTACTAGGGACAGCGAAAAAATTGACCAATAGCTGACCAGCGCATCCCCAATAATGATCCCATAAACAATTGTGGGACGCATTTCCGCTCCAGTGCCTTTCTCATCTCTAAAGTGGTGAATGGGGTTAAGCATGTCTTGAATATCAAGTTCAAACCCCTTTGTTTAAAATTACAGGAAAAAAACAACACTTCCCCTTCCCCCCTAGCTGATAACGTTCTGGAAATTCTCACAGGAGAAGGATTGAAAAAAACTATATAACCATCAGTCAGAGGAAGGGGAGGGAGGCAAGAAAAAAATTCTGGAGTAACCCGGTATTGAGGATGACTTTCAGCCGTGTCCCTGCTAGTGAATCTATATAACTTAATGTTGCTTGTTGCCATTTCATGGCTTATGTTGCTGTTTCAAGGCCATGTTACTTACATTTTCTATCGGAGCTAACCGGCCTGAGAGGGTCTATACTTATACTATATTTATCACTTGGAGTAACTGCAGAATACCCTACCACTTCGAAGCTGTATCCTTGAAAGAGCTGGGTACATGGATATGCAGTTATCCCTTTTATGTGATTTTCTACTTTCAGTGGCTTTAAGAATGACACATAGACATACGGTATTGTTTTTGTGCTGTCTTAAATATGCGGATACACGGATGCCCAGTTAAAATTATTTTAAAGATATTTACCAAGTGGATAGGCAGATACGTACTGACATTAAGTGGATACATGGATACACAGATACCTAGTGACTGAGTATCTGGGTATCCACCTATTTTTAGGGGTTGCTTTAAAGTGGCAGGGTATCGTGCAGTTAAGCTGATAATTCAACTATTGAGAACAATATCCCACCTGATATCTTCATTTACCGCCTTCAAGTTTTTCTCCCATCCTCTAACAAGCTCCTCAGTCTCTTTCACAGCAATAGCCTCATCAACCTGCTTTAAAACACCTTCTTCAAATTCATCCTGGTTGAACACATTCACACCCAAATTCCTCAGAACCGAGGCTTGCTCTTCGACGGGAACAGAGGGAATCAAACCTGGATCGATTGAAATACCATAGCTTTTAGTTTTATGACTTGATACTTTATCCTCGTCAACAACTGCATTTTCTTCTTTTATCTCTTGAGAAGGGGATTCATCCATTGTGCGCGCTTCACAGAGATGACAGTGTCCGATCACAGATTCAGCATCATCAGTTCTCTTTGCCTCAAACTGGAAATAATATTATATAAAACACAATAGGTCTTCAAGTCAAGCTACTATACATGCATGGCAGTAAGGATCACTTGTCTTCGCATTCTCGGGGACTGCAGATTTCCCTAGAGGGCCCGGCTGGAGGGTATAAACTTTATCCTGGTTATCTGGGTTATGAACGATGTATCCATATAGTTTCTCTCGTCCTTAATTCTTCCCTGCGCGATCAGGGCAGTATAAAGCCACTTCCAACGACTGCTTTCAAAGAACTTTTGTCAAGTCAGCCATATTCATTTCTTCAGGTTACCGGTATGTAGGTTACGTCATATATGCTACATTTACTGCCTGAAAAGGGAATATCCATACACAACATATCTGTTCTTTCAGTGAACATCCGCTGACCAAGAAGACTTTCGGATCATGACACGTTGAAAAAGATCATGACAGCTGATTCTCAGCTGATTATGATGACCAGTTAAGTTGTCGTTCCTGGTTCAAGTTGTCTCGAATGACACGACTCCTTTTCGCTCGAGAACTTTGCAAAATGGCACAAGTGAGTGTTCATCCCATCGCAGCGAGTGGATTTGTAGCATCACAATTTTATGATCGCTTTAGACCGAGTTACTCGAAAGAGGCTGTGAGCTTCTTAGTTGGTAAACTTGTTAATACACGGGACTCGCAGCCCGCACGTATCCTGGAACTTGGTGCAGGAACAGGAAAGTTTACGGGTATCTTGAAAGACGTTCTTCATGGCAGCAATGTCGAAATTATAGCGAGTGACCCTGTGCTTTCTATGAGGCAAGAATTTGCAGAACATTTTCCTGATTTAGAGATGAAGGATTTTTCAGCGGAAAATATAGGTAAGGTTTAAAAAGGATCTTGTGTATTCTTATTTTTCTAAATGGCACTGAAGCAGCCACTAGATTAATTTTATAGAAAAAAAGAGGACGCTGGAAAGACCTGGAAGTTAGACTCGGGTAAGTACTTCATATATGAAGTACCTACCTACGCTCGATTACCAGCCACTGTTCCGGAAAATGAGCCCACACTAATGGCAAAGATGGCGGGAATCTAGGGTGCCTGGAAGGAAGGTGAAGGGGTTTGCGATGGGGGGTAGGGAGGAATGGGGAAAGAGGGGGGGGGGGAATCAGGGCATGCTGAAGAATCAGCTAGGTCATATCCCTCAAAGCCGAACCAATATCAGAGGGGGGTGGGGGGGGGGGGGAGGGGGGTGGGGGGGAGAGACAGGAGGGGGCAGGGTAGGTGTGCGGGTGGGGCGGGGGGGGGGGGGGGGGGGGGGGGGGTGGGGGGGGGTGGGGGGGGGGGGGGGGGGGGGGGGGGGGGGCAAGTTCAATCCCAGGGTTCTTTTCTTGTCTCTTAGAGGATGGGTTGAAGAGAACACTGGAAACAAAGTTATGGCAGCGCTTACTGGTATTTTGCTCCTATCTGTGGCTCTTACTTGGAACAACATTAGCATAGTTGTAGTCTGTAGTGTCAGCCATCGCCTTGTCTCAGCCCCCCTAAGGGGCAGTAAAGTGAGCCCTCAAAGGAGATGGAAGACACTTCAGACTAGTGGGATTGTATATGTATAATTTAGTGGTTGGCATGTTCATCCCTAGATCTTAAATTTAGGACAGGGAACTTTGATGAACATTTTGTTTACCACCTTTCCGATATGCTTTATGCTTTGAATGGCAATTTGATTACCCGTATGTTATATTATTTTCCTACAGCATTACCAGACTCTAGTGTACATGCTGTTTGCGCTGCTCAAAGTTTCCACTGGTTTGCCAATGACAGGTCTCTTTCTGAAATTCACCGTGTACTTGTACCAGGAGGCAAACTGGGTCTTGTATGGAATAAACGGGATTATTCAGTCCACTGGGTAAAAGAAATGCATGAAGAAATTGTTTTCCCAATTTATACACAAACCAACACACCCAATCAAAGAACCTTTGAATGGAAAAGAGTGTTAGAAAAATCTGATAAGTTTGGGCCAATAGAATGTGATGAAACTTTCAAGTTTGAGCAAACTTTCTCAACCTGTCAAGAGGTCATAAACAGAACAATGTCTTCTAGTGTCATCCAGGCAAAAAGTGAGGTCGAAAAAGAAGTGATAAAAGACAAACTCAAATTGCTTCTTCAGAAGCATGAAGTTGATCAGCAGAATGAAATTGTCCTTCCTTATGTAGTCTCAATGTATTGGTGTGAAAGAAAGTGAGTCCTTCATGCAGGAAACTATATCAGGGGCAGATTTAGGAATTTTGACAAGGGGAGTCCAAACTTTTCCATGATGAGACTGTCTTCTCTAGGCTAGGTAATAATTCCCATTATTATATAAACACCAATGAAATACCAAGTGAGCTTTCGTGCAAAAACTTGATATCTTCACAAGTGAAAATAACATGTTATCTTCACATGTGAAAATATCACGGTTGCTATGGCTTCATAATAAACTGCACCTTTCAGACCAAAAAACTATTTAAGTAAAATGGTTTGGTATTTCATTGGTGTTTATATAATAGCGGGGCTCCCGCGCGCGCGAAGCGCGCGTGGGACAGAGCCCCATACTCATGGAATATGGTCAACCTCTTTTAGCTTGGTTGTCACGTGACTGACCGAGCGTACGTACGTACGTACGTACGTACGCGTCTACAGATTGTACAGGTAGGGTAGGGGAGACTATCAAAAGGAAGGGAGGGGTGTCTCAGGCGTGTGTTGGCAAGTCCTCATCTTTTTTACATGACATTCGCAATAAAGTCAATTGACAGCTGTCAAAACAGGATAGCCACTGACCAGTATCCCATGACCATAACGCGGGCTCATTTGTCAACTCATCGAGGTGACGTAATTTATTTGGAAGCTGTCCGCTGACCAGTTAATCGTTTTACTAGATCGCAAACAATATTCAATCTCATACTTTTTAGCATGGATATTATTATTAATATTTAGCTAGTTTGGGATCGGAGCACAGGAAATGTGATCAATTGACAGCTGTCAAAACAAGGTATCCGCTGACCAGTATCACTTGAGCGAATCGCGGGCTCAGGTGTCGACCCATCGAGGTC